TTTTTTTTTGTACCGGGGATCAAACTCGGGACTTTGTGCATGCGAGGCAGGCACCAGAACCACTGAGCTAAATCCCCAGCCCTGGCTTACACTCTTAAAGAGCAAAGTAACACAGAAGACAATGGGGCTAGCCAACCTAAAATAATACAGTGTCAATGGATTCATCGTGTTTTAAGACCTTGTGTTTAATTACTCTAGGGAAGTCATCCTTGTGAATTATTTCAGAATGCCGTGAAGGGATAAGCTCAGTTTCCTCTTGTATAATTAGAATATTTTACAAACCTAGATAGATATTTTTCTGGTACTAGTTTCAGGAACTTGCTGACTTAATTATTTACTTTTTGTTTAGTTTGACCAAGCTGCTGATGCTGAGTTATCCTGGATTACTGAAACAGAAAAGAAATTGATGTCTCTGGGTGACATCAGGCTTGAGCAAGACCAGACTTCTGCTCAGCTGCAGGTTCAAAAGGTGAAGAAATACATTTCCAGTTGCCTTTGAAATTATTTGCTGCTGTGATCCAAGTTTAGAAAATAAGCTGGCATGATTTACTCTTCAAGACCCCTCCAGTGTAACTTGACATTTTCACCTACTTTGCCTAATTGTTTTTATTTTAGTCATACGTTTTTCTTTCTTTTTTTAAATCTTGGGAAATCACAGACATTCACCATGGAGATTTTGAGACACAAGGATATTATTGATGAACTTGTTAAATCAGGGGATAAAATCATGGCCACATCAAGTGAAGAGGAAAAGCAATCAATGAAGGTATAATCTTGACTATGTTACTGCTTGTGAGGCTCTTGAATAAACAGCATGTGTTGAGCTTAAGGTCCTAGAAAAGCACTTTCCCTTTATCCACAGCTGCTGTTTAAGCGGCAAAATCATTACTTTTAAATAAGACACTTTTTAAGCTTACAGAATAACAGTGAAAGGACTATTCCTTCAGGGAATCATCATGACAGTCTTTTTTAATAGGCATAAAAGCTATTAAAGTTTGAATCTTTGGTTAACTGGTATACATTAAACATTTACTTAATATAAGCTGTATTACTACCGTTATTATCAGTATAAAATAACATTATTATGTGTGTCAGCTGTGTTTTATAGGCTTCAGGAACATTTGGGACTCAGGCCGAAACAAAACCCAGAATACTTAGTTCTCTAATGCTGAAATCCATTCTGTATAAAGTTGCAGTAAACCATATTAGGGCAAAAGTAGGCTGAATAAGAAAGCATCCAATGTGTGTAGTGTTAACTAAGATCCTGTAAATTAGTGCCTCTGTTAGGAAAATAGCCTGTGGCAAAAATAAATAAATATAGAGTCTGCCCAAAAAATGTATACATCAGGAAAGGAAAAACTTGTGTAAATATTTTAATTCTAAATTTATTGAGACATCATGAGATTAATATGTTACCTTTGGCTTCTATAACTACAAGGTGCTCAGAGTGGTGGCCATTAGCTTCCAGACATCAATTAGTTCAGTAAACCACTGAAGTATGTATACATTTTTTTGGAGGACTTGGTATATACAAATGTCTATGCCTAAGATCACCTTTTTTTTTTTTTTTGGTACCGGGGATCGAACTCGGGTCCTTATGCTTGCACAGCAGGCGGTGAAACCACGGAGCTAAATCCCCAGCCCTAAGATCACATTTTTAAAGGGTATGCTTTGTTTTTAAGGTGTACCATAGATAAAATAATAGATCACACAATATGATGATACTTCTTTATTTAAATAGTGATTTGTCTGTAATTCAATATTTATTATTTTTGCAAAGATTCAGACTTGAAAATTGTAGATCATCATGAAGTGGTTTATTGGGTTGCTCCTATGCCTTATCTTACCAGTTTTTTACTGTGACTTTATACCATTATCCAAATCACTGTGACTGCCATATAAGATCTGTCTAGAGGGTAGTACTTTGCTTCTAATATATATAATTTTTTTGACTTGGAATTTTTATAATTTCATTTCCAAATGATAGTTCTTTTTTCCGCAGAAAATAATATAAATGCTGGGAGAATCGTAGGCAAATTGTTTTCCAACCTTGAGAGCATTGTAAGAATAGCTGGAGAATTCTGCTTACTGTTTGGAGAGCTCAGTATATTAGTCATAAAAACATGAGGGCCTTCCTTAATTTAAAATGAGGTCTTATACATAGAAATGATCCATTGACTTGCTCATTTCACATACGTTTGTTGAATGTCTACTCTGCAGGGCATATCGTGCTAGAGAGCTCACCATGGAACATCTCTGCTAGCTGGCCTAACAATTAAACATGCTTCATCTTCTTTTCTTTTTTTTTTTATGCTTCATCTTATTTTCTAGAACAAACTGGACAAGGTATTGAAAAACTATGATGCCATCTGCCAGACAAACTCAGAGAGGTATCTGCAGCTAGAGCGGGCACAGTCCCTTGTCAGCCAGTTCTGGGAGACATATGAAGAACTCTGGCCTTGGCTGACAGAAACACAGAGAATCATCTCTCAGCTTCCTGCTCCAGCCCTTGAGTATGAAACTCTAAGACAGCAGCAAGAAGAACATCGGGTAAGCTCAGGGTAAAAAGAGAATGTGGTGTTCCCCATTGAAAAAGAATTGTGGTTTTGATTATTTTTAATGCTTAAAAAAGAATAGTAGTTTTGAACAGTGTTGTTAGACAGATTACCTGAGTATGGCATTTTAGCAATACTCTAGTCTGCAGTTTACTTACCTTACAGCTGCTTAACTTGTTTCCTGGGATTAGTGAGAAGACTTGCATGGGTAGAATGCATTGTGTATTTCATAATAGCAGCATGACTTTTATAGAACAATATGCAGTATATACCATCTGGGAAAAAGAAGATCCCATATTCAGATGTCAGAGAAATGTGATTTTGAAGCGCTTTCAGTTTACACCTGTTAAATTGCTTTCAACTTATACATGTTGAGTAAGTTTTACTCTTTCTGTGTAACAGTCAGAACCATCACACAGACAAAGCCCTTGGACTTGGAGAAAATACACAAGATCGTGAAAACATCAAAATAGCAATATTGTGAAATCTATGAAAAAGATTTATGCTGAAGTATAGAGACAAGTTGTTTCACCTCTTTTTTTCCCTTTTGTATATGTGAGGCTGTGACATTCTTGCTCCTGTTAAGTGTAGATTAATGTCCATATGTCATAAATATGTACAGTGGGCTTAATATACAAGGCATGATCAAGAAATACAGTGAATGTTTAAATTTAAAATGTTTTAGGGCCAGGGATTTAGCTCAGTGGTTCCAGTGCCTGCCTCGCAAGTGCAAGGTCTCGAGTTCGATCCCTGGTACCAAAAATAAATAAATAAATAAAATAAAATAAAATAAAATGTTTTATTATAGTAAAAGATATATTGCCATTAACCCCCCTCAAAGTACCACCCCCACTTCAAACATACTTAGCCCATCGTTCTTGTCACTTTTGAACCAGCTCTGGAAGTTGTCTTTGTGAATGTCTTTAGTTGCTCTTTTGTAGCTGCCTTGTAGTCCTGAGTCAGTTCATAAAATTTACTTTTCATGGTCATTTGACTTTGGGGAAGAGCCAGAAGTCACCAGGTATCAGATGGAGTGGACGTGGTAGAAGAGGACACACTGTAATGTTTTTACAAGTCTGCCTGTACTTTGGATGGCACTTGGCATTGGAATTCACACCTCATAAAGACACTCACAAAAGAGGACTTCAGAATTACTTCAAAAAGTGACAGGAATGATGGGATAAGTGTGTTTGAAGTGAGGGGGAATAATTTGAGGGATATTGTATTAGCTTTCCTGTCACTGGGACAAAATACCCAATACAAAATACCCAAAATAAGAAGCTTATTTTGGCTCACAATTTCAGGGTATTCAGTCTATGTTTGGCAAACTCTAAGGTAGAAAAGGCCTCGTGAAAGGTTGTGGTGGCAGAAATCTGCTCACACCTTGGTGGCCTGGAAGCAGAGAGGGGAGGGAGGAGCCCAGGGACAAGAATACACCCTTCCAGGTCACACCCTCAGTGATGTGCCCCTTCCAAACAGGCCTTACCTTCTAACAGTACATTCAGCTGTGATCTAATCAATGGGTTAATTCAATGATGAATGTATTGCCCCCATCATTCCAGTCACCTTCCAAACACATGAGACTTTGGGGGCCGTTTTACTTAAACATTTACCATATTATTTTGGTGCAATGTAATATATATGTGTATCCATCTTATAATGGTTCATGTATATAAATACAATTTCATGTGAGCATACATCACCCTCACATCCTTTGAGTTTCTTTTTGTCAGCATCATATGTATCTGCCTTCTACTGAGCTTCTTTCCATTTTTCTTTTTCTTTTCTCCCTCCCTTTCCTCTCTCTTTTATGCTTTTATAAATATCATAAACGTGCAAAAAGGAATACTAAGAATTATAGTTTGTTCCCTATGAGGACATAGGAGTTAATGCTTTTGTGTTAAATGACCCTCGGCTAACTTTCTTGTCAGAATGTGCTGCTGTTGGTATGAAATGCATGATGAACTGAGAGTCATTTTTTTCATTCAACCACCATTTTTCATGTATCCCTGAAAAGGGGCATTGGCTTTACTAGATTGCTTAGCCTATGTGTTAGAGCCATCTCATCCGGGGCAGAGTTGTATGCACCATCACATGCTAAATGCCTTGCAGTGAGGAGGGCATTTGTTTGGAGTTTCTTGCCAACTGGAGGAATTAGGGGCGTAGACAGCTGTAATATGGAGGTGTAACCCTGAGATACTAAGAAGCTGTTTGGTTTGTTATAGCAACTGCGAGAGTTGATTGCTGAACACAAGCCACACATAGATAAGATGAACAAGACTGGGCCACAGTTACTGGAATTGAGCCCAGGGGAAGGCTTTTCTATTCAAGAGAAGTATGTGGCAGCTGACACTCTGTATAGTCAAATTAAAGAAGATGTCAAAAAGCGTGCCGTGGCACTGGATGAAGCCATGTCTCAGTCAACTCAGGTAATCATTTACACTAGAAATAGAATTTTGTTCTTCTAAACAGCAAAGCATGAAGAGACATTTTCATGGATTTCTTGATTAAATTTCAACCAAAATTATTTCACTACACTCAGATTATTGACACTTTGCCTCTCAGAGGTGATGTTTGCTTGCATCCAGCCTTTATAGTTTCACCTGCTTTAAGATATAATAAAAATAATTTTAAGTGACAGATATTTAATTCAGTGTCCCTCCTGATGGAATGTGATGTTGCCCTTGGGGGATAGAAAGTGTCCCTGTCATCTTTAAGAAGCCAATAAGAGGAAACACTAAATGATCAGCCAGATAAAAAGGTTAAGAATATAAAGTTGGAGATGGATATTTTTTCTTTTTTGAAAATATATTTTTGCAAGAAGTTAAAATTTGAAATTATCTATAGGCTTTGCATTTTCAAGATTTCATTTTTATCATTAGATTCAGAACCTTAGAGTCTCCATTTTTTATAATCCTGAGTAATGGTTCTTTTAATTTTGAAGCCAGTGTAGAAATTATGAGTGAACCAGTTTTTTATAACTTTGCTTAATTGTTAACTAAATACAAACTTTTTGGAGAAGGAGCTGAATTTTGAAACCCATGTATAAACATGGGTTCTTCCACCAAGCTACTTCCTCAGCCCCAAATACAAACTCTAGATACAGCGTTGTGCAAAGTTTTATTTAGTTTAATTTTTAAACTTTTTTTTAGTTCCAGAAATACATAACTTAAGAGATCCCTTAAATCTAGTGAAAACTGCCAATGAATTTCACGTTTAATAGTATAACTTTGTAAGATGCCAAAATAGTTATGAAAATGGAGAAAATCTCTTTTAGTAGGCTTATTGAGCACAGTTTTTAAAACTTATTTGAATTATGATAAGATGAAGCAGTAGACTAAAACAGATGCTATTGCTAAGTGGTCCTCTTACATGCTAACATATATCATTAATGAATACACTTAAATTGCATATAAGAAACTGTTCTGCGTAAGTAGTGTGATGCAGAGATACATACAAAGTATAATTTTAGTCGAGTCTTCATATGCTAGCTAGATCTAACTAACTCTTGCATGTTTTGATAAAAGGACTATGATTTTAGTTGCAATAATAAATTAGATGTTTTTCATTTAAATCTCACATGTAGTATTATAGATCTTTTTCCCATATATGATCCCATTGTTTTATCACCAGTTCCATGACAAGATTGACCAGATCCATGAGAGCCTGGAGCGTATTGTGGAGCGTCTGAGGCAGCCACCTTCCATCTCTGCTGAGGTTGAAAAGATCAAGGAGCAGATCAGTGAAAATAAGAACATATCGGTAGACATGGAAAAGTTACAACCATTGTATGAAACTCTTAAGCTGAGGGGAGAGGAAATGATTGCTAGATCTGGGGGCACTGATAAAGACACATCTGCCAGAGGTAATAATTATGGAGTAATGAAACAATTCAACTTTACTTTCACAACAACCCTAAATTTTATGCTGTTCTCTGACAATCCAAATGCATAACAAAATGCCAGATCTTCAAAAAGGTCTTACAGATATGATGTGCTAAGGGTTAAAGAGTTGTGTGCCAGATCCCTTATTAATGTCTTCCTTTGTTTGTGAAATCAGTTGAGTACAAGGTTTGCTATTATACAAAAACCATATGTTCTTCAGATATTTTAAACAAGCAAGTTAAAGCATGATGTTAATAAGGCCAAATAGGGTTTTTTAAAATATATATTTTTTCTTTATTACTAACCTGTGTTACATAGCAGGCCTTCCCTATCTCATAACCACAGAAGGACATTAGCTGTCTTAGAGCCTTGGGGCTCAATAGGAAAAACATGTGCATTGTGGAAATTCATGATAAGATACTCTAGCCACAAACCCAATATATATATCCTACATTATTGTATTTCTGAGACTAAACAGACAACTTTATTCTTGTAGAGCATAAACAATACAGTCAGGTGATACTGCAGTTTCATTTGGATTAAGGGCAACCTTAGTGAACTTAAAACTTGGTAAACTTAGGTCTTCTCTGAGGTCAATAGCTTTGAGCATTGACTTTTGTCAGGAAAGTCCTTGGTTCAGCAGAAATAGGAGAATCACAGATCTTGCCTTGTCTGGAAGAGCTCTTGGGCCCAGTGATACCCACTAGACTGCCATCAGCCAAAACCCAAGCCAATTTTAGATACTTAGCACATTGAATCACTGTTTTCAGTATGAACTAAAATGTTTCGCTTTCTTGCTTAAGCGGAGCTAACCAATATTTTTTTCATAGCTGTTCGGGATAAACTTGACCAAATGGTTTTCATCTGGGAGAACATACACACACTAGTGGAAGAAAGGGAAGCCAAACTATTGGATGTCATGGAACTAGCAGAAAAGTTCTGGTGTGATCACATGTCACTGGTAGTTACCACTAAAGATACCCAGGATCTAATTCGGGACCTGGAAGATCCAGGAATTGATCCCTCAGTAGTAAAACAGCAGCAGGAAGCAGCAGAGGTAAGCAGAAAATCTCATTTAAAGTTAAAAAGCAAGTTATGGCCAAATGAAGCCTTCATTTGGCTGGTAAATATTAGGAAGTAATCATAAAATTTATATTTGATTCTGAACATGGAATGCATAAGGATTAGTAGGAAATAGAATGCACCCACAAATTTCCTTTAGAAATGTAAATGCAAAATAACTTCTCTCCATCCCCACTGCTTCTTTCTTATTCCAGGGCCTTGGTCTACCTCTCCTCCTTCCCTCCCCTCCTCCTTCCCCTCCCCCTCCATTTCTTGCCAGCCTTCTAACCTTGCTGCTAGTAGTACTTTTTCTAGACCTGCTCCTATTGTGTTGTTGCTTAAAAGCCCTCAGTGGTACACCTGCTGGATAAAACCCAAACTGCCTAGGACAGGCTGTGGAGCTTTTCACAGCCCAACCTAGCCCATGCCCATGCTCCCAAAAGCATGTGTTCTGCCACTCCTGTACCAGGCTCCTCTAGTCTGGTAACTGGAAAGTGGACCCCTACACACACTGCTTTATTCTTCCTAGTGTCTCTTTGTGATTCTACATATTTTATTTCCTCCCTTGCAATGACCTTTGTGCCACTTTTGTGGCAAATACTCAAGAATTAATGTTCCAGAGCTAGGGACATAGCTCAGTGGCACAGTTCCTGCCTTGCAAGCGTGAAGGACTGAGTTCAATCCCTGATACAAAAAAAAAGAATTAATATTCTGTTGGATTAGTAGCCCCACCCCACCCATGCAGATCTTCTCTTGCATACTTAGCAGAACTATCTACTGTAAGTACCATCTCTGTCACTATAATACTTTCCTCCTGCGAAATACTCTACACATAGTGTGACTGATGGTGCTTACTTATATTTCTGTCTTTTCTGCTGGACTTGTGGACCCCTTGAGAGGAATAGCCAGATCTATTTTCCTCTCTATCCCATTGCCTAGCGTAGGGCCTAGTTCATGCTTCTTAAATGTTGTTGAATGAATCAATATGTCTTTAACCAGAAGATGAAAGCAAAGGTAGGGTCTTCCATTCTGTTGTAATACTATTACAGTTTATAGGTGCTACCTAGGGTAATAGCATAAAATGTAAACTCAAAGGTGGTCCTCGATGTACTTAACAAGTACATTAATCTCTGTAAGGTCTTTGGGCTCATATTTTACTTATGTTCACTTTAAATGCATATTGTTAAACTAATTGATTTGGCAAACAAAATGTCTTTCTGTGCTTTATAGTGTCGGTGTTTTTCAGAATTTGTTCTGGTATTTGTTACAGTTTACTTTTGTCTGTATAATAAAGATTTCGCAGTTTTAAAGAGTGCTGTTTTTTTTTTAAGTACTTCTGTTGCCTTGTGAGAAAATTTGTAGCAGAAAGTTGGAAAACAGAAGAAATGAAAATAATTCTGATCCCACCTCCTAGAAATGACTACCATCAGCATCTTTGTGTACAACTCTTAACATTTTAAGGCTCCATTTTCTTATTCTAGGCCATAAGGGAAGAAATAGATGGGCTGCAGGAAGAGCTGGACATGGTCATTAACCTGGGTTCGGAACTCATTGCTGCATGTGGAGAGCCTGATAAGCCCATTGTCAAGAAGAGCATGGATGAGGTACAGCTGGCTTCTCTGCTCTTAACAGAATTCTTTTCTAAAAATTTGGTTAACCAAAACATATTTGTTAAAAGTAATTAAAATTCAAATTTGATACTGAAAGAGTTACAACATTTCTATTTTTAGTTAAATTCAGCATGGGATTCTCTAAACAAAGCTTGGAAAGATCGGATTGACAGACTGGAGGAGGCCATGCAGACTGCAGTTCAGTACCAGGATGGACTGCAGGTAAAGCCGTTAGTGTGTCTGCCTGTTGTAGCCAGAAGGAGGACCCTACTAATTGATATCTTTAAATGTATATATTGGCACCACCCCAGGTCTGGAAGTGTGCATGCAGTTGTGGGCAAATCTTCCCCTGTTGTTTTCCCAGCTACTTTGGTTTGTTTTTGCCTTTAAGAAAATATTTCTGACCGTTAGGTGTGTTGACTCATATGCACATCTACACATATTGTTATGTACACACAGTGAAATTTACTTTAAGATGAAATATGATACTTTTTCTTAAAGTAAAAATAAATGTTCCTACAGTCTTTTTCATAAATGGTTCAGCTCTAGACAGTGAAATGGAACTGAGTTTCAATTCTTTTCTGAAGTTGAGTGGAATAAGATGAAAGGAGTAAACACCATCTAAAAATATGACCAAGTTTAAAGTCAAAAGTAAGGAAATTTGATTTGAAGCCAGTGTTCTCCATGTACCAAAATAGATTTCTGAATTACTGGGTCATAATCGAGTATGTAAAAAGTGTTTTCTTTTTTTCATAGATATATATAATTTGTTTTAATAGTTGTTTTTCACATCTCTTAAAGGCTCTCATTCAGTTCATTAACCGTTTACAAGTTGATTTTTTAATATTAAAAATTCTCTTATCAGGCTGGGAATTTAGCTCAGTGGTTTCACCGTCTGCTGCGCAAGCGCAAGGACCAGAGTTCAATCCCCGGTACCAAAAAAACAAAACAAAACAAAAAAATTCTCTTATCAGTCGAGACATATTCAAGGATATTTTTTCGCTGTCTTCCTTGCCTGTGCTCCATTTCCTAACAGGCTGGCAGGCATTTAATCTTTCACCCTTCTTACCATATGGAAAAAGCCCCTTTAAGTATTTCCATAACCTTAAGTGAATATTATTCTTAAAGCTCAGAAAAGAACGTCTTTTCCTTTTTCATTATGCCATTCCATGTCTTTGTTTGTCAAAATAAATATCACCAGCCAGGCTTTATGTCAGCTGAAAGGGTCTTTGAGCTTTGGAAATACATGAAAAAATTCACTACAAATAGCACCTTATTATAACCCCCATTTTTAACCAAAGTGATAATTCATTTGTAAATAACATTGGCTAATAGTAACTAATGGAGCGCCAGCCTTCTGCCTGTCAGGCCAGGTCACAGTGGTGAGCTGTTAAGCTACACTGTCCTCCAGGGCTGAAGATGGCACTGCCACTACGTGCAGGCACTTAGGAGGCCACAGGCAGACAGCATGACTTGCACACGGGGCTTACTATGCTGGAAAAGCAAGACTGTTCCTAGGTCCTGTTGGACTTAGTCATTACCACCTCCTGTTTGTCATGAAGGGCATGTTGGTTTACTAAATAGCTGTGCTAGTATCATTAGATGTTCGAAGTTCCAGAGGGTCCAAGGTTTCATTATAAAGTGAAATATACTTTATTTCCCAGGTTATGGCTTACGTTCTTAGTTGGGGTTGATTAATGATAACTTTAAAATACCAGCTATTTTCCAGGATTTTTCCCCCTGCTATATGGTCTGGCAACTTCATTAAAGTGCAAAATAATAAAGAATGTGTTGAGCCTTTCTAGAATATTTATATCACCTAAAAAGAATAAAAAGAGTAGAGGACTCTGAAGTCTGTGTTGCAATTCAGAATAATGGTCTTAATACTAATCATTTACATGTGTAAGATTTTAATGTTAATATTACATGGGGGTTTAGTTGAGCCAAATAGCTGAACAGTGAATTGCTTATTTCAGTAAATAGATGAGTTTAGATCTTTATGAAAAAGTTTTATTATCCTGAGAATCTATTCAGTAAAGAATTTCTTCTGAAAACTTGCATGCAAAATTGGGACAACTCTTCCATTATAGTACTGCTTTTATTGAGGTAAATCATTTTAATTTTTATAAAATGGAGTCATTCCATAATGTCTTTATTAGTTTATGAGATTATAACAATGTCAGATGCACCATTATGGTAACACCTGGACTAATGTGTCTTTCAGGCAATATTTGACTGGGTGGATATTGCAGGTGGTAAATTAGCTTCAATGTCTCCAGTCGGAACAGATCTTGAAACTGTCAAACAGCAGATGGAAGAGCTAAAGGTATTTGTGGAAACTTTGTAATTTATCAAAGACTTCCTGGGATTTTTAAAGTTCTTTTTTCATGTGTTTCTTTGTTTGTTTGTTTGTTTGTTTGTACTGTTTCTGGTGCTGGGATCTAACACATGGCCTCACGTGCTTGCTAAGGAAATGTTCTACCACAGAGCTGCACCCCCAGCCTTCCACTTTTAAATTCTTGAGTCACAGAATTCTTACATAAATGTATTTACTTTACATAACTGAAACATTAATTTTTTTTTTTTTTTTTTTGGTACCAGGAATGAAACTCAGGACCTTGCACTTGTGAGGCAGGCAGCAGAACCACTGAGCTAAATCCCTGGCCCAAAGCATTAAATTTTGATTTTGAAACTGGTTTAATACAGTGCCTACATGTAGTAAGCTAGACAAGTGCTCATTAAATAAAGGAAATAAAGCTTAAGTTGTTTTCCTTTTATTAATACCTGTTAATTGTAGAAAAATCAGAATATACCCAAAAAAAGAGAAAAAACAATTTTTCTAAGTCACTCAAAAAGTTTTGTACCCAGAAACAGCTACTCATAGGAGTTAATGGATAGCTTTTAAGATATCTTCATGTTGGAGCCAGGAAGGAGTATAGAATGTGTATGTGTGTGGGAAGAGAGGGGAAGAGACATATTTAAATTATACTGTTAGATCATAACCAATCTAACACATACAGCAACACTTTTATTATTTTCATGTGTTCTGAGTAATTTATTTAGTCTTACAGGCCAAAAGCACATCCGTATTATGATACTAAAATGCAAACATTTTGGGAAAGACATTAACAACACATTTGCACTTTGCGCCTTGGCCTCTTCTCTTGTCCTCATGAATCATGCCAGCATTTCTGTCTGTTTTCCCTTGTCATTTTTGCTTTTGTGGTTTTTGATCTCCAATTGTGAAAATGGCTAGACTCTTCTCTTTGAATTCTCCTGTACCAATGATTATTTACCAAAGTGAGATCAGTGATTTCTTCCCTAATTCTCCTGATGGTGGTCTCAATTAGATTTTTATGTAAAATTGTAATCTGGCTTTAAAATTGTAGCATTTTCATCTCTTAAGTCTGACTATTTTATTTAGAAACAAATTCTTTTTTTGAGAATTTTGTTGTTGCCATCATTAGATTGAGGGGTTTTGTTTGGTTTTACTTATCTTGTCCGATTGTAAACACACAATCTACTTTATGTACGATTAGAGGTATGGAGGAGAATGTAGTTTGAATACTTTTGTACACTGGCCATCAGTAGGCTGCTCAGGAGCACTCACTCTGAGATGCATTTGTCTCAGTTCATCCAGCTGACTAGCCGGATGACCTCAGGAAGGTTATCTGACTGTCTCACTGCTGTGTCCTTAGCTTAATTGGAAGACAAAATTATTTTCCTTATAAGTTGGTTGAGAATAATTTGAACATAACAACTGTTCACTTTAGTTGCTGTTTTTTAATGATTACTTCCATAAATTTGAAAGAAAATTATACCCACTATATTACAGATTCAATAAATATTTTAAGAAGATATTTTATGACATGAGAATTTTCTATTACAATCAATCATTTCCTAACCTGTTGTTGCCAACCCAAGATTATTAACTGTATGTTAGTAATAGAGAAAGCACCAGGAGAAGGGAATAAAATTATTCTGTGGCAGCAGTGGGTGAGGCATGGGAATCACTAAATACAGTTCTAGTGAATGCAGCATAGCCTCAAAAAAATAAAATAATTTGTGCAAGATGAGTATATGTTTAGAGAAAGTAATACTGAGTTTCTTAGAGACATTGTTTTTTGATTTTCATATATGTTAATATATTTAATTTTCTTTCCTGTAATTTTAACTCATTTTTTAATATATAATTAGATGCTGAAAATAAGCTCAACCTTGAAAATACAAAGCTCTAACCCACAGAATTTTTTGGCCTAAAGTTACTGGTGGATAAAACATTTTCCTTGCATATGTCTTTTTAAAATAGCAATTTAAGTCAGAGGCTTATCAACAACAGATAGAAATGGAAAGACTGAACCATCAAGCAGAACTTTTGCTGAAGAAAGTAACAGAGGAGAATGACAAACACACAGTTCAAGACCCATTAATGGAACTGAAATTGATATGGGATAGCCTGGATGAGAGAATTATCAACCGACAGGTAAATGCCAAGACTTTTGTTAAGAAGGTATACATTGTCAATCTCTGATGTTAATGTAAATTGATTATTAAAACTGAAATTAGGCAATTACATACATACCTGTCTTAAGTACCCAGATCCTCTTATTTCATTAGAAATGTCCTTGGTTATGCCTTTGTTTTTTTATCCATGAAAGATGTTAAACTAAAAATGTAGAAGGATATGATGATTAGGCTTCATGGGATATGCTTGCAGACTTACACAGCACGAAACAATTGATTTTTGCCCTTGTTTTATAGATGCATGTCATTTTAAACATCAAACTCATAAGTGGATTTTCTTCCTCTGCTTTTTTGGTAGCACAAGCTGGAGGGTGCTCTGCTGGCCCTGGGTCAGTTTCAGCACGCACTGGATGAGCTTTTGGCGTGGCTGACACACACCGAGGGCTTGCTAAGTGAACAGAAGCCTGTTGGTGGTGACCCGAAAGCCATTGAAATTGAACTTGCCAAGCATCACGTATGTAACTGTTATTACATATTAAGCATTTCAAATAGAAAGTAGGCTATTAGCATTTAAAATGGTTTTTGACCATTCTTGCTTTAGTTCTTCCCTAGTTCTTCTTTCATAATAGTAGTTGTTCCCTAATTGTTTTGTTTTGTTTTTGGTACTGGGGATCGAACTCGGGTCCTTGTGCTTGCGCAGCAGGTGGCGAAACCACTGAGCTAAATTCCCGGCCCATCTTTCTTATTCTTTCACCTGGTCTTATTTACATGGATAATCATACCAAGCCATATTCGATTGAAAAATTAGGATTTATTTTGTATAGTTAATGTTTACATGGAAGCCTGCTTCACTATTTAATGTCTACATTATACCTTTGCTTAGGGCAATAATCACTGGTCAGACTGATTCTGCATAAAAACAAAATGTGTTTATTTTCATAGGGTGAGTTTATAGAGCATTTACATTTTCACAGACCTGGTAGTGGTATTAAAAAGTCTGCATCAGTGATTAGAACTGGGTATAATATAGCAGAGGTGGAAATAGGAAGTATGGGGATCCAGATGTTTTGGCAAGGGACCTGTGGGGATCGTTGAATCATTTATCTGCTTTTGAATAGTTAGAAATGTCTTCTTTTTTCCTCTTTTTCTTCATTTTCTCAAAGATCAAAAGTCAGAAGACTGTTAGAATTCCCAGCAGAGCTGCCGGAAGAAGGAATGGAACATTCTCCTTCCTTTCCTGCATTCTCCTGCTCTTATGCTCTGACCTTGTAGTGGGACCCAGACCATTTGGAAACATGAATTTTATAGAATTGTTTTTTAAATTTGAACAAGGAGAAATATTTAACTCTTACATCTTGAAAAAGTGATTCCCGCCTATTAACAAAGTACATGCTTTCTATAAGGATAACTCCTTAGGCAGTTGGTTTTACAGCCTTTGGAAAACACTCCTTCACCAAATGCTTCAGAAAATAAGTGAATTCGGTCAGAGAATCTATGCTGTCAAGTGGCTACTGTCCTTTTCTGAAAATCTCTTCAGGTCTGTCCCCTCTAGATGTGTGGTATCTTACAGAGGACAAGAGATGTCCTGTTGCCTTATTATTGCCAGTGAGTGTAGGGTAAGATTATAATGTTAGCACTTCTCCACTGAGATAAGATAAGGGAATAGTCAGTAAGTCCTTTCTTCCCTTTCAGAACCTTAATTATAAAATATGTATGTCTAGGGCTGGGAATTTAGCTCAGTGGTTTCGCCACCTGCTGCACAAGCGCAAGGACCCGAGTTCGACACCCGGTACCAAAAAAAAAAAAAATATGTATGTCTGGGCCAGGGATTTAGCTCAGTGGTGCCACAACCTTCATTGCAAGTGCAAGGTCCTGAGTTTGATCCCTGGTATAAAAAAAAAAAAAATGTATGTCTTAGGTGTGGGATAATTTTATATTTGAAAAATGAATAGGTAGGAGTAAAAGTGTATTTTAAATTGAGACATGAGAATGAAGTTTAATTAAGCAGTGTAAAACAAAATTTTAGAACCATTTAATTACAGTCTCTTGATATGTAGTACATCAATTGCAGTCATTATAATGGGAATGACTACCAAAATGTTCTCACATAATTGTTTTAGGAGGTGCTGATAATCTAAAGGTATATCTAGAAAAGCAACAAAGTTAAGGGAAAAGGAAGTCCATCATTTTAAAGTGCAATGTTAAAACTCTGTTATTGAAGCTTTTGTTTCATCATGTTCTATAACCAGAAAAATAAAACAGTTGTATTAAAACTGATGTTGAATGCAATACCAACTAGTGAACATAATATCGTAATATTTTTAGGTGCTCCAAAATGATGTATTAGCCCATCAGTCCACAGTGGAAGCTGTTAATAAAGCAGGAAATGATCTAATTGAATCAAGTGCAGGAGAAGAAGCAAGCAACCTTCAGCACAAGCTAGAGGTTTTAAATCAACGCTGGCAAAATGTTTTGGAAAAAACAGAACAAAGAAAGCAGCAGCTGGATGGTGCCTTGCGCCAGGTGATTAGAGATTCTGAAACTTTCTGTGGTTTTCAAGACCAAAAGAGCATGAATTTCTTTCCTTAGTTCGCAGACTGCTGTTTCATTTTTATACCTTAGGGAGAATGAATAGGATAAAGAGTAGAGCAGAAGAGAGGTAGCTGTCTAGTTCTTAGCGTAATGCTCTTATCTGATGAGCTCCCTGATGAAGAAAAGTAGCAGATCTAGTGGTCCCTGGCAGTCCAGGTAGAGGGAGGCCAGCAGGCTGGGGCTGTTTGAACCTTGTTTTCTGCCTGAAAGTGAGTGTTTATAACCCACACTTAAAACTCCCTATCACTTCAGGCCAAAGGCTTCCATGGTGAGATTGAGGATTTGGAGCAGTGGCTGACTGACACAGAGCGTCACCTGTTGGCATCGAAGCCCCTGGGAGGTTTGCCAGAAACAGCCAAAGAGCAGCTTAATGCCCACATGGTAAGTACAGTATCTCCTGCAGGTCTAGCCTCAAGCTAACAGAGTATTTTGGGTGGGCCCTGGTGATACATAAATAATAATGAGATATAATTTTATAGCAGAAATCACTCTGTAAGTGATATAAACAAAACCATTTATTGATTAAATCTTTCAAGTCAGAATCTAGCCTTATTTCAGAAGTTAGTCTTCTCAGCATATAAGAAGAAATTTTAGAAGTCTAGAGGGCTTTTTGGAAGCAGAAATGCCCCCACCATATGAAAGCTTGTATGGCCGTAGTATAATATTGTATAAGTTATACGTGGTTATGCTTTGTAGTGTAAAGAAAAATCTCCAAACCTAAGAATTGGACTTAAAATTATTGTTCAAATATATGTGTGTGTCTGTGTGTCTGTGTGTGTGTGTGAATGTAAGAATGTTTCTCATGAAAAACTGGAAAATATGTTCTTGTTCTGTTAAAAGAAATGGCTTGTCTCAATGATGTCAGAGCTTTGTCTTCATCCTCACACCTTACCAGATACGGAGAGAGGTGCAGGCTTCTTTAAGTTTAACTGTCCAGTCTGGAGCATTTGTCTGTGGGCTGTTCCCACCCAGTTTCTATGACACTGGGAACTCTTAAGAATGAGAACAAGAAAATAAGGAAACTTGAAACTCTGGCTTTCTTTCTTAGAAATATGGACTGACAAATTTAGAATGCCATTGATTTATTGACATTTTCTATTCATATATCTTTGTAATTCAGCTCTAAAAATTCTGAGAAAAAAACAGTCATTTATATCTATGAAACTGTTTCTTTACTTTTTACGCTTGTGAATTTGCATCCAAAATATGTTTTTAATGTTTAGCATTCAAAACTACTATCTTTAGAAACAAGGATTTGGCAAAGAAGCAAGCCATCATACATGAAAATACGTACTCTTTAGTAGTTAATGTTGTAAGATAATAAAATTTTACTTATTTGGAAATAATTTTGAACTTGGTGTTATGGAGAAGTAACCATTTTACAGATGTGAAAAGTACAATAGACTGACTTAGATAATATCTTACTCTTTCACGTTTATACTGAATGACTAAAATAAGTCCTGTTGTGCAGTATAGAATTTCGTAAAAGTTAGTAGAGTATATTACTTGAGAAATTTACTGTGTGTAGTTGTGATTGTTTGGTACCCACTTGTTTCACTGAAAAAGTGAAGGCTGCATAATAACTTGGGAGTACTTACTTTCCTTTTCTATAATAAAGCCTAAGTAGTAACTTCAAGATACCAACTTGCTTTTCTGTAGTGCTTCTGTTGCATTTATAGAATCTATTATAAGTTTAATGAACCCTTGAACAAATAAATTATTGGTATTATTTTAATAACAAATATCTTTAAAATGTTAATTCAGAAGAATATAACAACTTGAAAGCAAAAAACTCTTACTTGGATTGAGTGGTGTACTAGTACCCTTCCCTTTGCTAGACACAATACCGGATACCCAAAATTTAAAGGAGGAGAGGTTTAATTTGGCTCACATTTAAGGGGATTCAATCCATAGTCAGCTGGCTCCAAGGCTGAAATCTCATAGCAGAAGGGTGTGGCAGAGCAAAGCTGCTCACTTCAAGGTGGCAGAGAAGCAGAGCAGGGAACAGTGCCAAAGAGGAAGGGATGAGGGACCAGATATAGACCATAGTACACAAGGCTACATGACCCCACCAGCCACACTCATACCAGAAAATACGCTCACCAATTTCTGGGGCAATTTCCAAGCCTCAGAATATTCCCCCTTGCTTCAAGCACACTTACCCCATTGTTGCCACTTTCCGAAGCAGTTCTCTAAGTCATTCTTTTGTGTCTTTAGTTGCATTGTTGTGGATGCCCTCAATGTCTTGAACTGATTCAAAATATTTACCTTTCATGGTCTTTTTTAACTTTGGGGAAGAGCCAGAAGTCACATCATGCCAGGTTCAATGAATAAGGTGGATGCAGACACACCATAATGTTTTCATGAGCCTGCCATTCCTTTGGATGGTGCTAGGTAGCAGCATTCGCCATATTTTTTAATCACTTCTTAAAAACACAAAAGAGGACTCCAGAAGTGCTTCAGACAGTGGCAAGAATGGTGTAGTAAGTGTGTTCAAAGTGGGAGGGTACTTTGAGGAGGAGTAATAACAATATGTCCTTTACTGCAAGTTTTAAAATTTTCTCTGGTATGAGAAACTAAAAGTGTAAATGAGGACCAAAATGTATAATAGATAATGTGAAATAGAAAGAAAAGCTCCAAAAGGGAAGAAGGGGGGAAGAAAGAAGGGAAAGAAAAAATATGAGAAAAGAAAGAAAAAACTGAAAGAAAATTTTTGTAAATGAGGAGTGGAGGGGTGGAAAAGAGGGAGGAGGAATGGGGAAAAAAACAAGAACCAAGATGTACCATGTACAGGTACAAACTCCCAATGATGAATGTGATCATAATATATACCTAAAATGTGCCAATAAACTTAATGAAAAAAATGAAAAAGAAAATGTTCTAGAATTAGTGGTAAGTAGTTGCACAAATTTATGAATTTACTAACAAAAACTGGAATATGCACTTTTAAATGTTGAATTTTACGCTATATGAATTATGTCCCAGTTTATAAAATTGTAAGGTTGAAAATCTTAGTGAGACATAATATGTTTCTCAGTGGGAACTATGATTTGACCCAGATCATAATTCAGTCAGTGGAAAAGAACCAGTCTTAATTTTTTGTTTGTTTTGTTTAGTTTTGTTTTTTAGTACCGGGGATCAAACTTGGGACCTGGTGCTTGAGAGGCAGGCAGTGGAACCACTGAGCTAAATCCCCGGCCAGTCTTAACTTTTTTAAATGGAATATATCTTTTGTTTCATTGGCCTTAGATTTTGAATTTGTTTAAGCAAAATCTTCCTATATTCTCTATAGAAGATATACACTACATTAAAATTGGAAGCTTTAAAAATGTTTTAAGTGAGATTCTATTCATAGTACCACAAGTATGACTGTTGTAATCCAAGAAACTGAATAATCAGTGTAAATATCTTTGCACTTGTACTTTGCTTTCTATCCATTGCATGTTTTCTGGATCAAGGATTAAATTATATCAAATAGTATAGTTATTTTGTCATAATACAAGGAAGGACATAGAAGGTCCCACTTTACAGAGCAGGAAATTGAGACCCAGAGAGCTTAAATTACTTGAGAGCTGATTAGGTACTGTGCAGTGAAACCTTTCCTGATAACATGAAAACTAATGCTAAACCTTAGCATGCCAGAGTGGTTTGGCAATGGTAGCACCAGTTCTGGGCTTTCTCAGTACTGAGCAGGTCTGTAGGTTTAGGTACTGTTCCAATACAGTGAAAAGTCTAACCATGGCAGTTCTGTGTGCCAGAAATGAACATTTGATGAAGAGCTTGGGATTGATGACCTGAAAAAATAGAACTGTTAGATACTGTTCTCTTAAAAGCCATATAACTTGAGGGTATCTCAATTTAGGAAGTCTGTGCTGCCTTTGATGTTAAAGAAGAAACATACAGGAGCCTGATGCAGAAAGGCCAACAGATGCTTGCAAGATGCCCCAAATCTGCAGAGACAAATGTTGATCAAGACATAAATAACCTGAAAGAAAAATGGGAATCAGTGGGAATGAAACTCAATGAAAGGAAAGTATGTGCCTTAATGTATTAAAAATCACTATTATAGTAATACAATAGCCAGTTTGTTTATTTCATGGGTTTTGCCTTATTTCTAAGAACTATCAAAAGTAGAACTTTTAATGATTCATGTTTAAATTTTTTTATACTTGAAGATTTCATGAGGGCAGTTGAAAATAGTATTCTAACCCAAAACAACAGTTAAAGGAATCTATTCAATATAGATGAAGATATTTAATAGACCAAGTCTCACTTAGGTATATTTCTATATATTATGAGCACTCAAGTTCAAGGTTGTTAATTCTGTTTTAATCACAATCATTAAAGGAGAGGAAGAGCAAGAGAGATGTTTATACATTTTATCAGCATTTATATAAAAATAATCTGAATAATCTGAGAAATCTCAATAATACCATTTATTGCTATAAGAAAAACAGTAGGCTACAAATACTAGATTGTATAGCATCACTGATAGAGCATAAAGTGTGTTTCATAGGGTTTTGACTCCAACAATTGTGTGAATGTAAGTTTTTATTCTTATCATTCTGTCTTGTTGGAGTTTTGTTGTTGTTGTTGTTGTTAATTGCCACAAAACACAATTTAGTGTACGTTGAATATTTTTCTAGCTGCAGGGAAATGTTTCTTACTAGATGGGTTTTTAAGAAGCTTGGTTTGGCAGTATTTTACTGAAGACTCATTACAATCACAGATGTTTAGTTAACATAGATACAGGATGAAAGGGAAAGGAATCTTCCAAAGAAGGATTAAACTGAAACAAAATAACCAAAGCCCTTCAACATCAGATACTATATTAATAATCCATCTTCACAGGCTAAACTGGAAGAGGCTCTCAATTTAGCAGTGCAGTTTCACAACTCCCTCCAGGACTTCATCAGCTGGCTCACTCAAGCGGAGCAGACCCTGAATGTGGCTTCCAGGCCAAGTCTTATCTTGGACACAGTCTCGTTTCAAATTGACGAGCATAAGGTATGTAGCAACAACTCAAACAGATAACATTCTCCTTTCAGACACCAGGTGCTGTAATGTCAGAAGCGTGGTTTTGGTAGTTGAAAACTTTCTCTTGTCTTATAAAGCATAATGAGCTTTATGATACTAGAAACATTTCTAAGATGGATCCTTTTTTCCCTTGTTTCTGATTATGTCCCCTTTTTTTGGTGGTGGGGAGAAGGTCTTTGCCAATGAAGTAAATTCTCACCGTGAGCAGATAATAGAACTGGACAAAACTGGAACTCACCTGAAGTATTTCAGTCAGAAACAAGATGTTGTCCTAATTAAGAATCTACTTATCAGTGTGCAAAATCGGTGGGAAAAAGTAGTTCAACGGTTAGTAGAAAGAGGAAGATCCTTGGATGATGCAAGGAAGAGAGCCAAGCAGGTAAGAAATTTTTGTGAAAATTCTCTGACAGTAAATGAGTTGTAGCTATTAAGATGCATGGTGTTAAAACACTTGCATTGCAGGCTATGTTAGTGGCAATAATCAGGAGCTGAGTATTCATTTCCTAAAAGGGCTGTGGCTTACCTTGGCATGCTGACATCACTTTTTGGACCTGGCAGCTAATCTTGAAAAGACTAATTATAGCTTGGCTTCGCAGAGGGGCCATTATCATTAAGGCACAAAAAGGAGCTCCAAATTTTGTTACTGGGTTTGTTTATTTTTCCTCTGTCCTTTTGGCCTCCACTCTTATACTCAGAGTATAGCATTATACTTTATTATATTACTAACTCTTGTTTACTTCCGAAGCTGAACTTTCCTCAGTCTTGAGAGCTAAGAGACAGACATGTAGCCTCCAGGCAGCTTACAGAAGGGAGATTTCTGGCTCTAAGTTGGTTGGCCTTCCCCACCTTTCTCAGCGCTTGCTGACAACCCTTCATCTCTACCCCCCGAACATTTTGATGCAGCTTCTTCTCATTTTGAAAGTAATTGTTCAGATCTTTTGGGGATGCTTAATTTAACCTAGAGAATTTCACAAGGAATTTTTTCTCCTCTCTCTGCCTGTTATTAACACTGAATCCTAGACTAGATAAGAGCAGGTAAAATTGTGACATCTCTAAGTGTATTTGTAAACTGTGGTAAGAATTATAAAGTTTTATAAAGAATAAAAAGTAAAGTTTTATAAAGAATTATAAAGTAAGAATTATACACACTTTATTGATATATATCTTTTTAAAACTGCATTTAATAATTCTACCAAAAGTTTAGTATACTATTAAGGCTGAATTTTTTTTACCCTTTTTGACCCGTTCAGCTGCATTTGCTTAGCATTATTGTACTTCATTGTTTAGGCCCAGTTGGATGGTATAAGACAACATCATAAGAGTCAGATGTTTCAGTGTTCAACTATCAGTATAAATTTTTGAAGGCTTAGAAATGACAAATTGTATTGTTATGGAATTACATGCCATATATCCTTTGAGTGGGAGGTATGATATGCTCAGTATTTGAAGTGAGTCTCTAGAATAGAATTTGTTGCTAATGTTACAGTAGTAATTCTAAGTCTGACATTTTTGTCTCTCATTATGTAGCACAATGCCTTCTGTACTATGTCTTGAATTATAAACATCTGATTCATGAAGATACTCTCTTCCTCCTATCTCCTCTTAATATGTTTCATTGTCTCATTTTGTTTAACTAATTATATACATATTTTCTACTGTTTCACCCCAAAAGCATTTCCTTTATTTATATCATTTAAAAATACCTTCAAAGGCAGGACCCATTTCAGAGCCTGTGGTTTATATTATTAAACTTCACGTCCAGTTATTACAGCCTCTGTTAATTGAAGTCAAACTGCCCAGCACCTAGACTAGCTGTTTTTTTTCATTTCTTCTTAATCTCAATTTTTGGCTTTGATGTTGATTGTAGCTCTCTAATTTTGGCAATTCATGTACCTGTTCTGACCTTGCTTTTTTTCACATGTAAATTGAGTTGTGGGGGGGGATATGTAGGGAAAGTAGGTTTGTAATGCGATCATCTCTAGTGGGCCTTTGTGATTCTGTGCCTGGGTTTGCTCTTTTTGTTATTCAGTTATTAATATGCTTTGGTATACAAGGAGTTTATGTTAATTATTTTGTTTCTGGTAAGTATCTGTTCATTTACATTGGTTATAAGAAATAATTTATAACCAGTTTCACAATTGAGTACACAAAATTAAAGCCCACTAGTTTTGTGTATGATAAACAAAAGATACTGTGGCTAAAATCAGATACATGCAGCACAGAATATTTGCAAGGCCTAAGATGACAAAGAGAATTATATTTTCTTAGAACTCAAATATTGGGGTGCTTGTACATATAAAACCAGTATGTAAGGCATAAGCATGAATTTGAAGATTCTGGTAGCAGAAGTAAAGATATTAAATTACCTTTGTATTAAATAGGAATATAATGGCCTCTTTTTATTCTTGCTACTTTAAAAAACAAATTTACAGGGACAGGGTTGTAGCTTAGTGGTGCCGTGCCTGCCTGGCAAGCACAAGGTTCTGAGTTTGATCCCTGGTACCAAAAAAACAAAACAAAACAAAATTTATAAGCTGCTCTATAGTCCTCCTTCCCCTTTTGTCCTTTTTTCTTAAAATGGGAGTTAAACACCATAGATGTAAATTCAGACCGGTAAAGAGACAGCAATGGACATAAATATGTAACATATATACATAAAACAAATACAGAAATATGTTTTTGAGAATTTATGTTAAAGTTTAAGCAAAAAAGGAAGAAAGGAAGTTTTCCCTTGAGCTCCATCGCTATTTCTAGGCTCATTGAGGTTTTTGCTAAAGCGATATGTTGGATGAGTTACAACAAAGTGACCATTGGGCACAGCCACAAATGCCAAGCATTATCAAAGCATTTTATAATTTGCTGATGAAAGCATATTTTCTTTAAGAGAAATTTTGAATTAATGATTTTCAACATGGCCATTCACATTAATTTATTTTAAAATATGCCATATTTCAAATATATGCTCGAAGTTTTTCTGGACAAAGATAGGAATTTCTTTTACAGTTCCATGAAGCATGGAGTAAACTTATGGAATGGCTAGAAGAGTCAGAAAAGTCGTTGGATTCTGACCTGGAAATTGCCAATGATCCAGACAAAATAAAAACACAGCTTGCACAGCATAAGGTGAGTCTCTTAAGGAAAGCATATTGCCTCATTATGTATTTCAGGATCACTTCCAAATTCTTACTTGATCATGTGTTTAGTCATTTCTGAGCAACAAAGGCCACCATTGTGAACCTATGCTAAATTTAAAACCAGTAACTCCACGTTGGTCAGGTGGCAATAGCACCTTTACTTCTAGTGACCATATTTCACTAATATTCAAAGGTTGTTAAAAACACACCAAATTACAACTGGAATACGTCTACATTCTAGAATGAATGAAGAGTTTTAGCAGTGTGAACATTGGCATTTCAGTTTTCACAACCACTGTCATGTCTTGTATTTTTTCATAGATCAAAGACAACCTTGTAGATAATTCTGTAGTAAAAAGTAATATAGATTTCTGGTATAGATTCTTTTAAACAGATGAAAGATAAATTGATTGCTACTACCTAAGAATTGATATTTTATCACATAAGCATGTATATAAAATCCATCCATATCCTCAAAGACACATAGTCATTTACTTCTTTGTGTAGACTTGATGCATGGAGAAACATATTTTTTAAATATTTGTTCTTTCCACATGATTTTCAAGGGCATTCCCTGGTACCCTTCCTAACTCTTTTTTTATTTGGGTCTTTCTATAATTCTGTTTGTAAATTGACCATCAGCCATCAGGGTGAAGATGTAAGTAAAGGAGAATGATTCCTGCAAACAAGCAGCTAGGTATAATTTTAGGCATCTAGATATAAATTGCTGCTTGAAACGTTTTTTTTATTTTCTCTTAAATTTTTTTATTGGTACATTTTAGGTATACAGTACATTCACATTCATCATTGGGAACTTGTACCTTTACATGATGTATTTTGGTTCTTATTTTTTCCCTATTCCTCTGGCTTGAAACATTTTTAAAAGGCTTTAAAAAAACAGGACAGTGTAAGATTTACCATCATCAGAAAATTCTTAGCCTTATCTTCACCCAGGTTGGTTCTTGGCATCCCAGAGTCTAACCTCAAAGGGTCATGACCTGAGGATCCCAGGAGGAAACATACTGAGCATCTGTTCTTCCACTGAAATAGGGCTTATGAATGTGTTGTTCTGCAGGCAGCCTCTGCCTGTGAGCTGTCACATCCAATCCTAAGAAGCACAGTGACAGTTAGCAGCACCTTCCATCCTTCTCCCCTGATGGAAAAACAAGAGCCTCCTCTTCAAAATAGAATGCCTTATTTGATCTTAAACATGGATGTTATGTAGTCTTATAAAAGTATATTGCATATTAAAGAATTTAGGAACATGAATATGCAAAGAACTTTGTTATATTTCCTATTTTACCTAATATTACATACTGCCAAAGTCGCCAGTTTCTCCAAGACACATACCAAGGTAGTCCATTAAACCAGTTTTAAAAGAAGTCTTCACTATTCATCATTTTGGGACTTTTGCCTTAGCAAAGTTCTAATCTATCTTTTACTCAGCTATGATGTTTGTTTATGCATCTGCTGTGTAAAGAAAATCCATGTCAGTACCATGATTCTAAATTCAGTCATTCTTTTCCGAATAACATGAGGAGATAATACAGATAGCAAACTTTAGAAATAGTGTGATATTGTAATTGTTTAAGTACTTAAAAGATGTCCAGATGTAATTAACTCCTAATACAAGACAAAAATTTGTATGTCTTGTTGAAGCATTTAAAGTGTAGCTTTTAAAGGCAATAAAAATTTATTAGGTAATTGTAACTTTGAGATTATTTCGGGAAGTTATTCATTTACATACCATTTTATTGTCTAGTTTGATTCTAATGCACTGTTAGGATTGAGAATCACTGTGTTAGTATTGCCTTGGTATTTTATGAGCTTGTAAGCTGACCATTAAGTAGACTTACCTACCTTTCTTCTTATCTCTGAGATTGTATATTCAATATCACTTGTCTCATTTTTCTACTCTATTTAATCTTATAAATATTTATTAGGTATAAAATGATGAGAGCCTACAATGACAATGTCCCTGCTCTGTAAATGCTTATAATTGTGGTGCATAGAAAGAATACAATTCTCTCACTACCCCTACACACATATACATATACAAACATAAAAGGTTCCTTGACAGTATAAACAGCAGCAAAGTATAGATGTGTTCTATTAGCAATATAAGGACTTGATAGTGGAAAAGTAAGCTGTAAATCTTTTGAGGTATCAGTAGGGCTTTAGATAACTGAGCAGGAAGGATGTAGGTTTCCCATGTGGTATGAATAGTGACAGGTCCAAACAATCTAGAGAGAGGCCAGTTCTTACTTGCCTATCATTCTGGCTCAGAGATAAAATTGCATGTACCATTACTGTAACTATCCAAAGTGTGTGACAGTAAATCTCTTTGAATAATAACAACAAAAAAGAGCCTTTAAAAAATGTATTCATCATTGAATCACTCTGTCTACACTGGACCTGTAGTTATTCATAGAGCATTGGCCACATTTTCTAATCCCAAACTTTTTTTTCAGTAATTTATTAGCATTTCTATTTTATCATAAATACATATTGTGGTGTTTGTTGCTTATCTATAAAACAGGTCCAGGGCTAAGTGGTAATTACACTGTTTGCCTTGTATGCATGAAGACCACCTGAGTTTGATCCCCAGCACCGCCCAAAAAAAATTTAGAAAAAAAGGGTTTTTTGCTTTGAGATTATTTTCTTAGGGTTAGCTGGGTTCTGAGAAAAATAAACCCTTCACTTCGGAAGTTTAAATTGGGGGGGGAGGGGGGCTGTTACATTTTTGTGTTACACTCAGCACTCCAACCTGATTCCTTGCTGTCTCCCATGTTAGAGACCCTCCTGCAGTGCCTTTTGTTTGTTTGTTTATAAGTTACATGAGGAAACACACACTGTTTTCTTGTTAAATATATAGGAGTTTCAGAAATCACTCGGAGCCAAGCACTCTGTCTACGATACCACCAACCGAACTGGACGTTCCCTAAAGGAGAAAACCTCCCTGGCTGACGACAACCTGAAGCTGGACGACATGCTGAGTGAACTTAGAGACAAGTGGGACACCATATGTGGAAAGTCTGTGGAGAGGTGAGATGTTCTTTCAGGCAGTTCAGTAACTTTGTAGGCCTCCTTAAAGTAGAAGGTAGTGATGCTTTGTAGAGACATTTTAGGAACACTTTGCCTGGGGAACATCTGCTCATCCTAATACCCACTCATAGACTGCCTGACCTGAGAAATCTTTGCTGTTCATCATTATTTTAAACTACTCATTACAGTCAAAGTGATATCCTACTCCACTCCTCTGTTACCTCATCCAGCTACACCAGCTGCTTCTGACTGGTCTCTCCAGATAGACTTTTGTTCCTCCTGTAATCTAATTTCCACTTCACCATGAGGAGGGCTTTTTAGAAATGTAAATGGGCTCTTACCCTTCAGCTTCATCCCCTCAGGGGCTCACTACTGGTTATGAAATAAAACAGGTTCCTGCCTGTGGTGTGCCTGGCACTACTGCTGTGGCCCCAGCTTCTCTTCTAGCTCCCATCCACCCCTCCAGTCTCTGTCTTTCTCATTATGCTTTTGTGAAGGCTAAGACTTATTTCAAATTTTCAAATATTTAAGAAAGTATAATAGTACTTTTAAAAAGTTCAAATATCTTGTTAATGTTTTCAATTTTTTGCTGATTTTTAGTTTTATATTTAGTTTTTGTCAAAGGGGTTAAATATGTTGTATTTGAAATGCTTGAGACTAGAAATGTTTTAGATTTTAGACTTGTTAGATTTTGGAATATTTGCATATACATAATGAGATATATTGGGAATGAGACTCAAGTCTAACTATGAAATTCATTTGTTTCAATATACATATAGCCTGAAGGTCACTTTTTAGTTTTAATAATATTGTGCATGAATCAGTTTCATGGTATGAAATTTTCCACTTGAGATACTATGTTGCTGCTCAAAAAGTTTGATTTTGAAACATTTTAGCTATTGGATTTTTGATCCAGAAATGCCTAACCTGTATGAGGATTAAATACAATGTTATATTCAGTTCCAGGGAACTTCATAATATATTTTTGCAGTGCCTGTTCACTAAAAAAAAAAAAAAAAAAAAAATTGACTGGAGACTTCTCCAGTCTCAAAAAGTTATATCCTTTTTACAGTCATGTAAATGATTTTATTTATGGCATTTTAAAAAGACAATTACAGTGATAAACAGATCAGTGAATGTCAGGGGCTAAAAATGGGGGCAGAGTGTGACTATGAAGAGAGAGCATAGGGGAACTGGGGAAACTCTTCTGTATCTTGGTTGCGGCAAAGTGTTACATGTTGAAATTCATAGAACTGTATGCTAAAGAAGTTGTTTATTGTCTCATCATTTAAATATATTTCTAAAGTTAAAAGGCATGTTATTATGCAGCAATCTGAAAGGCTCTTTGATTTCCAAAGTTGATGATTAGGAAATTTTCCTAGAACAAGTACCATGCACTTAAGGAAGAAAAGATACTTGAGAAAAGTTTTGTCTTCTAAGGAGAGCAAAGAAACATATTCTTCTTGAGTGCCATTTAACTTGCCTGAGTGAACTCACTTTTCTGTGACTCAGATTAATTTTTCCAACTTTTCCCCCAGACAAAACAAATTGGAGGAAGCACTGTTATTCTCTGGACAGTTCACAGATGCCCTGCAGGCCCTCATTGATTGGTTATATAGAGTTGAACCCCAGCTAGCAGAAGACCAGCCTGTCCATGGAGACATTGATTTGGTGATGAATCTGATTGATAATCACAAGGTACTGTATTGTGGGACATTTTAATTTATCATGCTTGATTATTTGTAGTAGAGAGGGAAATATAACCACTTAAGTTAGCCCTTTAAAATCAGGAGACTATGTCGTACTCTGTCTTTATTGTTAAAATACATGTGCATTTGAACAGAATTAGGATGCTGACTTTAAAAGCAATTGGTAAAAATTACTTTAGTTATCAGTGAGATATTTTTTTTTAATTACCAGATCTAAAACCTTTTTAAAATTAAAGTGATTCATCCTTTGGGTGCTTTAAAACATGTTTCAAGAATCTTACACTAAGTTATTCATTTAAACAGTTACATAATAAAATTAAAAAGCATGCATTCAGTGACCTGGAATGAGATCATTTTGTAAGTGAATAGATTTGTGACATGATTCATGGGGGCCAAGATTAGGTGCTCTTCTCTTTTAGAAATTGTTTTAACCTTGTCCCTTACACTGAAGCAATTTATGAGTTAATGGTGTGTTCTTATGAGAGATTTATTATTTCAAGAAAATTGGTTTCCTTGCAGTCTGCGTATACACATGTTATACAAATCAAAGATACATTTGAGGTGTCCAGTTGATGCTAATTTGAGGTCCTAAATTATTATCAAATGATTAAATACAATTCAGAGGACTTTGGAAGCAATAGGAAGCATGGTCTTAATGTGGAATGGCTGAGTCAGAGTTGACTTGATGTACAAATACCTTACAAAACTTTCAAAGTTCAGAGAATATATTTCATTTTTTAAAAATTTTTTGTACTTCCTTGGTTATGCTATTTGATTTATGTGTTTTTAGATGGTTGATTTTTTGCATATTTGTTTTCCCTTTTTTGTTTCTATTCTATTACTAGTCCCATCAAAGAGAGTCTGTGATACTTGAATATTAACAGAAAATAAAAGAAGAAATAAAGCACAGTGACCAGGCCTATGAAAATTTAAATATTGCATTGCTTTGCTTATATTGAAAGGAACATTTTGTGCACGATAAATACAAAACTTTCCATTTCCTGGCACACATTCAATGATTAATGAATAGTGTAATGTTACTTTTTGCATAAGTGCCATTTTTATAAGCTCACTGTCTCAATATTTATTACCTTAGTCACTGCCAGACTTTTTATATATTAAAAGTCATCAAGAATGAATGAATCATTTAGCATTAGTAATACAGTTGGAAGGCTCAGGAAGTTTAAGTGTACAGAGTACACTAGGAAGTCTGTCACAAATGGAATCTTTATTGTTCTGTGGGTATGTATGTGTGTGTATACATTTGTATGTGTTTATCCGCAGGCACTTCTCAGTTAACACCGTTAGAATAAAATTAGAGACTCCATAATCCTGTTTAGATTATTTTGGATGGGCTCCCTTTTGTGACTGATCTTAGATAAAAGATTGGTTATTTGAAAGGTCATGTTTTGTAAGCAGACTCATGGATCTGACATGAAGTACCCTGGGATCACTTCTTGATTAAGTCTGAAGCCAAAGAAGTCAGTTTAACTCTTGGCATATCAAAGTTCATCAAAATTAGGCAGGGAGGGCCAGGGATTTAGCTCAGTGGTTCCCATGCCTGCCTTGCAAACACAAGGTCCTGAGTTTGATTGCCGGTACCAAACAGACAAAAAAAAAAAATTAGACGGAGAAAAAAAGCCCAAAAAGCTTTTCCTCTAGGATGAAAAATAAGAATTCTCTAAAATTTGAAATCATATGTTAGTACCCAACATGCGATGAAGGGAAAGGCACATTATGGAAAAAAGGTCCATGTGGGATTCTGTCATCCTCTCTGAGGCCTGGGATGGACACAAGATCGCTGAGTCATGTGTCTTATCTGATGGGGTGGTCCTGCATCTGGCATGAAGGTGGTTCACACAATGATCTGAGAGTTTGGGCACCTGTTGAAAGAATCACAGAAGGAGAACCAGTTGGATACATTTGTGTCAATGTGTCACTTACAAAATACTCTGTCTTGTTCCTCTTGAGAATGTTGCAAGACTAAACAAAGGTAAACAAGACTGTGTTCTTGGTGGTGCTCTTACCCTCTGAAAGTTCTGCCAGAACTGTGCCCATTAAACTGCGGGTCTTAGATGTCTGCAAATGACATTTTATACACATATGTATTTTAAACCAGTACATTTGTTACTGTGGGTTTTAAATTAAAACTTAATTTTTAAAACTATGATTTTCTTAGGTCTTCCAAAAAGAGCTGGGGAAGAGGACCAGCAGTGTACAGGCCCTGAAGCGCTCTGCCCGGGAGCTTATAGAAGGCAGCCGCGATGACTCCTCCTGGGTCAAGGTCCAGATGCAGGAGCTGAGCACACGCTGGGAGACTGTGTGTGCACTTTCTATATCAAAGCAGACGCGGCTAGAAGCAGCCCTACGTCAGGTGAGAACCATTCCAGTGATAGTTGGATATGATGAGAATAGTATTGAAGCCTCAGCTAGAAAAGCTGCAGTGGAGAACTGCTAGGGTTCTCAGTTTTCCCCCTGGGCAGTCAGGAGAAAATTCTGATAGCATCAATGCCTTGACCTGTCTTCTGCCTCCCTTGAGACTTTCATTTGCTCACAGTGGGGGAACTTTGCCGATCTTCACAAAAAAAGTATTACTTGAGTAATTTCTAGCTTGGAAGTCTTGTGTGCTGCCATTCACCTAAAACCACGTTGTTAAAAATGATGAATTGTTGTACCATAAGCTTTATTGAGATATTAGATGTTTTCTTATATTTGTAAAATGCAGCACTGTGCACCTTTATCTTTTTAATGGGAGTAATGTACATAATTAGCTTAAATCTTGAGACTTTATTTTTCATTGGGGGAGGAATCTACTCTTCACTTCTGTGAATTTCACTAACGTGCATATTTTGAGACCTTGCTTGGTGTGTGTATGTGTGTGTGTGTGTGCACTGTTAGGCAGAAGAGTTCCACTCAGTGGTACATGCTCTCTTGGAGTGGCTGGCCGAGGCAGAGCAAACCCTGCGTTTCCATGGTGTTCTCCCAGATGATGAGGATACTCTCCGAACTCTCATTGACCAGCATAAAGTGAGTAATTTCTAAACACTAAATATAACTAAATGAGAAAATGAAACAAAGTAGATGAAATAGACTTGATTATAGATACCAAGTTCATGAATATTTTCCTTCCTGAGAAGTAATTAAACATCGGTACATTTCAGCATGTATCTCCATCTTCTTTGCTAATGTGCAAATATCCCCACACATGCACACAGGTTATTAGAGAAGATGGTTATTCTATAATTAGTCACCATTTCATACCTCTAGGAAGCACATTGATTTTCCTAGGAGGTTATTTGGCTTCTGACCAAAATTGATTGATTTTGTTAACTTTTGGCGGGGGGAGTGGTACTGGGGATCGAACTCAGGACCTTGCACTTTTGAGGCAGGCGGTAGAACCACTGAGCTAAATCCCCGGCCCAATTTTGTTAACTTTTATATGGATTTCAAGAAGGAAACTTCCTTAATGAGCATTTTGGCATTTATAAAATTATGCCAGTAGAATTATAAATTAATATCTTTGACTTTTATAAGCAAAGGAAGCAAGTCATTTAATAAAATTTGGAGTCCTTAGATTTTATTTTTAAGCCTCTTCTGTTTTTGATCAAGAGCCTTTTGAAATCTTTTTAGAAATAACCTATGTATGAGTTCCATAATTAAATATCCTAATGAATAACTAACCAAGTAAAAATGTGACCATTTAATTTTCAAACTAAGATCTTTTCTGTGGCAGAGCATGAAACTTGGCAAAACCCTTAAGGAGTGGTCCAGATAGTTCATAACAAATGTTTTTCAACCTTTGACACAAAAAGTCAGGAATTCACTGTACTAACACTCAAAGTAGTATTGAAGTCAACATTTTATATCAGCTTCAAAGAATCTTTTAACACCACTAATAACCTTGCCTTTCAAGGTCAAGTTGGAAATACATCACTCATTTCATGGATTACATGGAGACTTTTTGTTTTAATTTATACTCTCTCAAAGAAGGGTTGGCTAACCTATAGCAATGAAATACTTGCCTTGTCATTAAGAAAAGTGATGCAAGCTTATATAACATTATCTAGAGAAATGAAATGTTATATATACCATTTGAATTTGAAGCTAGAATAAAGAATAATAAATGAGCACCCCTATTCACGTGGCTGGATAGTATGGTATGGTGTGGTCTTCATTGAAGTCCCTGGCACTCACTGTCACTAATTTAGCAGTTCCTCCTAGTGCAGGCAAGGTCCAAAATTCTATATACAAGGTTTTTGAAACATGTCACATATTTCAGGAAAAGATCCTCAGTTTTTAACAACAATTTCAAGAGATCAGTGCTCTGTGTACTACGGATACAGTTCTGATGGTAGAAAGTACAAGTATATGTGTGAGACACATAGGTTATTTGAAAGATTACCCTGGAATGGTTTGGGCTTTGTTCCTCCAGAGCCAGACCTGCAGGAACAGAGAGGAGATCTGGGGTCAGGGATTTATCTCGGTGGTTCCACTGCCTGCCTCGAAAGTGCAAGGTCTGAGTTTGATCCCTGGTACCAAAAAACAATGACAGAGAGGTTATCTGTTGCCCTTTGAAAGAGACAGTTGTCATGCAGCATGGCCTGGTGCCAGTCCCACTCTCTCCAGCCTCCTCTTGAATCTTTATCTGTACACTGTGGGCCCTCTCTCCCATACTCCCAAACATTTATAGCTCTTTGCCCAGCCTTTCCTCTTCCTTGGTACTTTTTTGGCATACACTGTATTTGTCTTTCCTGCATAATTAATGCTATCTTATTTGTTTGAATTTTTTGCAGACAATATTTCTATCTCTGGCAATATTGTATCTCCCAATCCTACTTCCAAATATATACTTTGAAGAATTATTTTTGTATGATATATATTTTTAAAGCATGAGATACTGTTCTGTATTGTCTTTTGACATGCATATTAGAAAGTACTTAATTCTCCATTTTTTCCTCTTTCCCTCCTCAATTAGTACATGACTTCCAACTGTGAATAATCCAACTAAAGTTCTTACTCGTTTAGTTAATCCTGACAGTAAATTAATGTCACCAGTTTTGTTTTCAGCCATTGACAGCAGCTAATTGAAGTCTTTATTTCTGCTATAGGAATTCATGAAGAAACTGGAAGAAAAAAGAGCTGAGCTCAATAAAGCCACCAATATGGGTGATGCCGTTTTGGCCATCTGCCACCCTGATTCTGTCACCACCATTAAGCACTGGATAACAATCATCCGGGCCAGGTTTGAGGAGGTCAGTGTGTCTCCACTAGTCTTTAGCTGTAGCCTTAAGAGTTGAAGGGTATGGGAAATTTTCAGCAATTAAGGTGCACTTACAGCTGTGGTAAAGTGGGGTTCCCCCCCATGGCAGGTGTTCTTTATGATATCCTTCTTACATGTATTATCAGTCTCCCAAATTTATTTTTGTTTAAAAAATTAAAAGGAATTTTCATGGGCCAAGGATTTAGCTCAGTGGTTCTGCTGCCTGCCTCAGAAGTCCAAGGACCCAAGTTCAATCCCTGGTACAAAAAAAAAGGAATTTTCAGCTATGTCCCTGAGACTCTTACAGGCAGACTTTTAGCTCACTGTACAGCATTCTGTCCCACTCCCATATTGTGTCTGTTAAATAGCCCAGTACTGAATATTGTCTCAGAACAATATGTACTTGCTGAGCGAGCTGATACACACAGTGTAAATTAACTCCTTGATTCAGATCTTAGCATTTTCACTTTCTGCTCTGTGCTAGGTGGAGTAAGTACACTTGACCCTTCAGAGAATGCATATTTGAACTTAAATTAGAAAGCAAAAGGAAACCTGGGTGATTGATAACATCATTAAACTTCTGAAGGTGAGGAGTATCACACAGGACTCCCACCTCTTCCTCAAGTTGGGTTTTGGTGGCACTGAAGAATGGCATATGGGTCTAGCCTAGGATTATTCTCATTTACACTTAAAATTTGTGTATTTTACATTAATGCAATCATTCACTGGGTTAGAAGGCATTCAGAAAAATCTGTTTCTCCAACAGGTACTGGCCTGGGCAAAGCAGCATCAGCAGAGGTTAGCAAGTGCTCTGGCTGGGCTCATTGCTAAAAAGGAGTTGTTGGAAGCTTTGCTGGCTTGGTTGCAGTGGGCTGAAACTACACTCAATGAGAAGGACAAAGAAGACATCCCCCAGGAGATTGAGGAGGTGAAAGCCCTCATTGCAGAGCACCAGGTGAACTCAATTTAATCCCAAACCCTGTTAGTCACAGCAGCTTCTTTCTTTAACTTCAGTTCTTGTCAAAAGATCACTGTGTGTGTTACCTGTGCTTCTTCCAATGTATGCCCCGTCTCCTAACAACTGGGTTTCTAATTACAGTTGCCCCAAAACCTCTCTCTTCACATTTACCCACTAGACCTTTGCAAAACTCTCCTGCTTTGTCTGTCCTCTTTGAAGTTATGCTAGACTGGCACTGCCCCACACTGTAACCTTTTGCCTTCTGCATGTCAGCTCTGCTCACTCCTGTATCTTGTCCTTAACTCTCTACTCCTTTCACACCACTCCTTCTCTTGCCAATCTCACTCTTCTTCATGGCTTTAATTGGCACTGATTTTATTGTTTTGTGTTTGCATTTCATCTGTCTCCGAAGATGACCATCAGTAGTGGGGGGAGGGGTAGTTGTCTTAGAAAAATGACTCCCATTGCTTCTCGGCCTTTTGGATAAGATCAAGTGTAGAAAAATTACTCCCCCTGTGTATCCTACTTGGTTTAAAGTCTGGAATGATGGGCATCACACTCACTCTAGTTTGTTTAATATGTATTTACAATGAGAAGCATTACATGTCAGCTCAGCTAAGCAGTTAACAGTGCTATTGTTGTACTTTAATACAAGTCTGAAGTATGAATGCCTGTACTGGCCCCCTCTTAAGTCATGTTCTCTCTGATCAGGGATATTGAAATGGTCACAGTTCTCTAATAAATATTCCAGAAATGTCTCCTTCCCTTTTCATTCCTGTCTGCCATACCTTTTCCCTACCACAGTCCCTGCCTTTCCTTAGCCTTTGCCACATGTTTCAGATACAAGTATACCTAGTAAGTAATAATAATAAACCGAGGAGATGGGGTAAAAATGGTAAGATAGTCAACCCTTTAATATAGTTGTAATACGGTTTAACTTTTGTTCCTTGAAATAGCTTATGACTAAAATATTTGCATCTAATGTCTCTCAGAGCCATCTTAAATATTTCGAATATGTAGGTGAAGTGTGTCATAGAAGAGTCCTCGGAACACCCCAACTAACTAGTTGCTTTGCAGTCAAATCCTCATGAGAAATTCTTGGGGAAAAGCTTGAAGCTTGAGTTTGATGTTATTCATATGACTGCTCCCATGTATAGTCTTCTAACTAAAGTTACTTTTTAAATTTTTAATTTATTCTCCTTACCAGCTGTAAGATTTCACATTCTTTAGAAATCAGTAAATTACTATGCTAGTTTAGCAGTTTTTAAAGATACAACATGGTAATTCATTCTTCAGAAATAATAGTGTGACAATTTTGTCCTTGTGTTTTTTACTTTATTCTTAAGACTGATTCAGTCTGGTATTGTTTCATTTAACTGACATAATCTCTTTCACTGCAGTCCTTCATGGAGGAAATGACCAGAAAGCAGCCTGATGTTGATAAAGTCACCAAGACCTATAAGCGGAGATTAGCTGATCCTCCCTCGTTGCAGTCCCACATTCCAGTCCTGGATAAGGGGCGAGCAGGAAGTATGCAATGGCCAATTTCTTTAAAATGAGAATGGTTAAACAAAAAAAGCTGGTTTCCTTTTAAGCTTAGTTATTGTTTGAAATTTTTGAGCAATTGATTTAGTGTGAGTATTGTATCACAGAAAGATTTTTTTAAAGTACATGAGCTCAAGAATTACAACAACTTGTTTAAAAATGAAAAGCTGTGTCTAGGTTTCTGTATTTAACTTTATTTGCTGGAAGTACATCTTTCAAATTAGCTAGAATTGGAAAAGTTCACAAGAACAGAAATCATCATTTGAGTTATCCCTTTTTTCTTGTTATGTAAATAGCATTATAATTGAACATAAGGAAAGTGATAAAAGCTCCTAATCCTGCTGCTCATTAGTGACAGTGATCTGATAGATTTTTGCCCTGCTCTGTTTACTACTTCTCAGGCACCATTAATATGACAAAAATCACATTAGAAGCTATAGCTCAGGAAAAAAAATAAAAGCTATAGTTCAGAGAATATTTATAAGAAACAATTTGTATCACACATTTTAAGTATTTCTGACTGGTGCCTTAATTTTTTTTTTTTTATATAAGAGGGGTTGGAACTGTTGTGATAACTATGTTAGCCAAGGAAACAGCAAAGTGACCAGGTGCACTGGAAGCAGACTCCTTGGCTGTCCCCACCACTTAGCAACTAGGCAGACACTCTGACGGCTGACTTACATTCCCTCCAGACCTCCATTTCCCTATCCTTAAAGGGGGATAGTTACAGTCCCAGAGACTGCAGCAAGAGTGAAATGAGCTGGTGTACCATGAAGTGCTTGGTGTGCTGCCTGGTGTATAGCTAAATCCTCAATAAATATTATCTATATGATTCCCAGCATGGACATCCTATATGACTATAGACCAATCATTTTCCTAGACAACAATTAACTACTGTGTTTCTCTGAAAATAAGACCTAGCCAGAAAATAATCAGCCTTGGAAACTAGAGATCAAAAATGCCAACGCCAGTCAGCCTATCCTTGCCTTACCTGCCTTACAAAGTAGCGACTGAGCAAGAGAATAATGATGGCAAGTTAGATAAGAAGAATACATTGAAATAATTGTTTTATAGCATTACAGAAACTTAAGGAAAAAACAGCCAGAAGGAGGGACACAGTGAACTTGGGTATGAGACTATGTGCAGGAAACATGCAGTGGAATTGGGATAAAGTTGGGACCCTATACACACTATGTTCTGTGTTCTGTTTTATTGAGATTGTAAAGCGTCTGACTCTGACTTTGTTGACTCCGATGTCTCCATCTCCTGCTTGCTGTCCTTTCAGCCTTCTTTATGCTCTAAAAAGGGCAGCTGAGTCAGTGGTAACTGATCCCAAGGTGGATGTCACCACACAGGGGTGATTTCTTTTTCTTGCCTTAACAAAGAGGAGGATCACAGGGCACTGCATTGTCACTGCAGTGGAGTGACTTTCAAGCAGGAAAATGTTTTAAGCACAAATTTATTGAGAGCATTTCTGATGTTTAAATGTTCCTGTCAAGATAAATTTCTCTAATTTACATGATCAGTATGTGGTCCTTAATAAGTAAGACAGATTTAGACTTTGACATCATGCATCATCTAAAGTAGCTTAGTTCTACTTGGAATATCCAGGAATTAAGTTGGCGAGCACCAAAAAAAGCCAGGCATTAACACATACCAGAGTGATGGAAACAAGCTCTGCCATCCTAACTGAAGTTGTACTTTAACAGGAAAACGCTTCCCAGCATCCAGCTTATATCCCTCTGGATCACAGACACAAATTGAAACCAAGAATCCCAGGGTAAACCTGCTGGTGAGCAAATGGCAGCAAGTCTGGCTCCTCGCGTTGGAAAGGAGGAGGAAGCTCAATGATGCCTTAGACAGGCTGGAAGAGGTTTGGAAACTCATGTATTCATCTCCATGTTGTCACTCACCCTCCTCTCTTACACCACTATATCAAAATCTTGATTTTCTTTTATGTAAACAAACTCTTGCTGTTTGAATGCATATTGTACTTTAAAGATGAATTCTGAGCTCATGCATTCCTTTGTAAAAAGACTGATAAGTGAAATTTGGATTTAGGAAATCAATGAAGCAAAATAATACTGTGTTTTAATAGTGAGAAGCTGACTCCATAAGAAAACCTCTAACTTGACGTAGTTCCTGATGGAACTTCCTGGCCAGTGAAACTGTTTATAATTCAGAGCTTTGAATAATACATACTCTGGGACCTAAGATTGGAGTTGTGTATCCTAACGTTGGGGCATTTTTAGACATCTGTGAGAGTGAAGAGTGCCACGAGTGCAGAGGGAGAGAGCCTGGGGCTTGGTTAGGAGCTGCTGAGTTGGCAGGGGCATGGGACTAGAGCTGGGACTTCGGGCACACTGCCTTGGTGACTGGTGTATGGGAAATTTTCTAATTAACATTTTAAGGATTTTATTTGTAAAGAAAACTCAGTGACATTAATGAAATAAATTTTACAGAAGAAAATGTTTCTGAGTCACCTTTGCAAAATTATTCCTTTGAAATGGGAGAGATCTGTGCATTATCTGGAAGATGATTTTTTAAAATCTTGTTCAGAAAATATAAATATAAAATATTTAAAATGTAATGTGAACCAGCACTAACTCAACCAAAATACCTTTTGCTCTTTTAGCTGAGGGAATTTGCTAACTTTGATTTTGATATTTGGCGCAAAAAATACATGCGGTGGATGAATCACAAGAAATCTCGAGTGATGGACTTCTTCAGGAGAATTGATAAAGATCAGGATGGAAAGATCACCCGGCAAGAATTTATTGATGGAATTCTTTCCTCAAGTAAGTCTCAAGGGAGATGACTGACAGTTTTTAAGGGAAATAAGCACAGTTTAAAACTGTGGGCCCAACAAAGTTGTGTTGCTAATAAATCATTGCCTTTAAACTAGGTAGAAAGTCATCACCCTTTAAAAAAAGTATCTTTGGTTAAATTTATGGCTGTGAAGTCAGACACTCTTACTAATTATGTGACCACCGATGTGTCCCTTTACTGAAGCTGTGTCACTGTTAGTATAATAAAGTTAACAATGTTTGATTTTTAGAGTTTTTGTGTGTTGCCTGGCATATAATAGAAAATCAATAAATGTAGTTCTCTTTTTTCTTTATTATGTCACATTTTAATATAACATTGTCAGTAAGTCATTAGAACCCTATAGAAACTCTTAAATTAAGGTGTTTGCCAACTTCTTTTTTGATGGTTTGGTTGTTTGTATGTAATTTCCCTAACAGATTTTACTAGAAGTAACTCTTAATGTAAATTACATATAAATTACTCAGTAAGTAGAGTAGTTGAACTGAATGAAATTGCAAATACTAAAAAGTTCTCAACCTACAAAAACAGGATTTTCATACGATTCACCTGAATAGTAAAGATAAATTTAGGTCATGTGTGTGTGTGTGTGTGTGTTCATTTGTGATGATATGAATCAATTTTTAAGGATTATAACATACTGGATTACTCTGATAATTTAACCAGCCAGACTCTGATTAAAGAAATCGAAAGTGTCTTGAGATGGAATTAACAAGCTACGGTACAGTACTTTCGGTTGTTTTGCAAATTTTAGAGTTCCCAACCAGTCGCCTGGAGATGAGTGCAGTTGCAGACATCTTTGACAGAGATGGTGATGGATACATTGACTACTATGAATTTGTAGCAGCTCTTCACCCAAATAAAGATGCATATAAACCCATCACAGACGCTGACAAAATTGAAGATGAGGTACTCATTCTCTTTCCACTGCTTGCAGTAGCCCTCCGCCAGGACATCATGTGCAATTCATGCAACTATTTTATTTATTTCCACTTTAGTTGTCGTGTCACAAGTTTTAAGGAATCCACTATGTAATAACATTAACTTTAAACTGAATATTTCATCATTGTTTTTGGCAGGTCACAAGGCAGGTAGCTAAGTGTAAATGTGCAAAACGATTTCAAGTTGAACAGATTGGTGATAACAAATACAGGGTAAGTTTTCCAAATAACTTTGTTGTTCCTTTAAAGGGTAGAAATTGAGGGCTGGGGATTTAGCTCAGTGGCACTGTGCCTGCCTCATAAGTGCAAGGTCCTGAGTTCGATCCCCAGTACCAGGGGGAAAAAAGACGGGGGGGGATAGAAATTGAAATTTATATACAGTTTGATCTGTGTTGTTTTCCAGAAGGAATCCTCGTTATTTTTACATCATATCAAAATTCACTGGCATATGACACTCCAACATTTTCGTTTTAAATTATATAAAGATCACCTGAATTTTTTTTATATTAGGGCATATTTTTTACCTTTACAGCATATGCCCATTACCTTTAAGGAAAAGTATTATTTACAGTGAAACACTTAAATCTCATAAATTCAGGTTGCTTTGTATTAGTTTATAATTTATTAAAATTAGAGGTAAGTTTCCAGATTTTCAATAACAAAGTTTTTCCAAAGCGTGAAGTAAAAATGTTGACTCATTTTTGTAAGTGTGAGAAATATGCAGTAATTTTTGCTTCTATTATATTTGTAATGTTGATGAACTTAGTTCACCTTCAGAACAAAACAATGTGACTTCATCACTCTGTCTTTACTTTTCTCTTTTTGGAACATCTCTGATACAGAGTAACTAGATAGAAAATGTGCTGAGTTTACCTATCTTAGCAACATTATTTATTTTTATACTTTCATATTAAAAAATAATCCTGTATATACGCAGAATTTTAACTTAAATTTGAATTCCTAAGATTTTTCCAGTAAATTTGTAGAGAAAATTTTCTGATTATTTTTATTGAAATTGGGACAACTGGATATCTGCACATCTCTAAACTAGTTCCTGTATCCAGAAGCCCAGAGTATGGGAGTGTGTGGTATGTTCTCAAATCATATAGAAAGTTTCCTGTTAAACTAATTGTGTCTTTCTTCCATTTTTCATTTTTTTATCAGTTCTTCCTGGGAAATCAGGTATAAACCAGTGGAATGTATATTCTGAAGTTCCAAATAACTTTTTTAAACTTTAATTCATAGTCATTAAAGCTTGCCATGGCCAATTTTCCCATGCTGTCCCCCTAGTTACTACATTGTTGGTTGGCGTGGTGTTTCTGTAAGTGCTATAAAGGGTCCTTGATCTGGGATTCCTTTTTGCCTTGCATCTCAAATAAGGAGATTACTTTTAAGCAAACCAGATAATGAATTGTAGCTTATCTGGCTACGGTGCTACAAATACAATTTTAAATTCCCATTTACAGTAATAGTATTAGCATATATTTTATGCAGGTACTTATTGAACGCAAATTTAATTCTCCATACATCTGTGTGCCCTCATTGGTGTTTAACTGTTTAGGAGCCACAGTGTACAGGAGCTCAGGAGGGTCAACAATGGTGAGGGAAGACAGAGCACTGAGAGGGCTCCATGATACTTGGCTATAGTAATGTGTTCTTTCCAAAGCAACTATTTCCCATTTGTCTTAAATCATTGATTTAGGGCTTGTCACCCTTTATGTAGAAACATTAACTCTGGAGATTTTCAGTGATGTCATTCATTTTGAAGGAAGTTGCATGTACACAAAATCTTTTTTTTTTTCTTTTTTGGTATGGGGGATCAAACGCGGGACCTTGCGCTTGCGAGGCAGGCGGTGGAACCACTGAACTAAATCCCTGATCCCTGTACACAAAATCTTAAAGTCAAATATTATTCCTTCTTGGCCACGTGTCTATAACACTTAAGTTAGTATAAACTGCCAAGTGGCACTGCAGCATGGTTGGAATTTTAAACTAAAGACAAAAGAAATGTTCTGATTTAAACATTCAAGATTTTTTATTATATTCTCTCACAAAGAACATTACTATCTATAGTACCTGACATATATTAGATATTACTCTGCCACTTCATTTTAAGCCATATTACATCTTAAATTTCGAATTATTTTTTACTCTCATCTCTTGCAAGCAGATAATTTATTTAAAATAGAAATATTCAGGGCCAGGGATTTAGCTCAGTGGTTTCGCTGCCTGCTGCGCAAGTGCAAAGACCCAAGTTCGATCCCCAGTACCAATAAATAAATAAATAAATAAATAAAAATAAAATAGAAATATTCAGGTACTTTGAATAGAATTTTTCCAGGAAATATTTTAATTGCCGTATTTATGGGATACAGCACAATAATTTGATACATGTATAGGATGGTAATAATTAAATCAGGGTAAAATTTCATTTGCTATAATACATTGTTACCTTGCCGTTACTGTTATTTTCTGAGTCAACAAGTGAAATAGTGTCTTTTATTTGTGGGCAGAATAAGAGAAATACCTGAAAAGATTTTATTTACTGAAGCACAAAGAACATTAATCTGTTTTTTTCTTATCTCATCATTTGGCTATTGGGAAAACTAGAGAAATTCTGAAAACAATGTTAGTTGGTTGGAGAATGCTTTCTTAAAATGGAAAATTGCTCATATTTAATAGAATTGAAATTTCATCTCTGGAAAGTACTTTTAGTTATTTCCTTAAAACTTGTGTTTTCAACATAATCTTGGACCAAAATTATCTGGTTCCTTAAGGGTAATTTTCTTTAAATCCCCTCATTTCCCTTTGCTTACTAGCTGCACCAGTTTTTTTCTAACAAAATAAATACATATTTTTATATTTAAATTTATATTTACATTTCAGGAACAGGTTCACTTATAAGATGCTCAAGTCTCAGTGTTTAAAAATCAGATTTAGAAATAGCAGTCTCCACAGCTCTACATTTACGATGCATGAGGTCCTGCTGTGTGTTGTACATACTTTCTAGGTCTTGCTGAGTTTTAGGATCTTGAATGGGATTGAATTGATTTTGTTTTAGGGTTCTCTTCCTGAAATCTAATGCTAAAGCTTATTGAAAATAGCAAATCGTTTCCACTTAAAGTTTTCAGTTTCTCATAGTGAGCTCAGACAAATAAGTGTCACTGTCGTGTTTTCCCTGCTTTGAAAAGAAGCTGCTTATGCTTAATTATTTATTTTGCTTTGTTGTCTGCTGGGTTGGCAACCATGAAATGCAGTACAGTATTTTCATAGGTTGAATATAAGCCTATTAGAAATGATTTAAAACTATAAAATCATTTCTCACAGGCTTTCAAAACAAATAAATCTATGACCAGAACTACCTCTAGCATAGCATTTACTCAGGAGTTGCCAAATTATAACATATCCAAGTGACTGGTGATTTGTTAAAAGGGCAAGAAAAAGATATTTGTTTGTTAGTGTCAACAGTTATGGTACAAAAAGCTTTGGAGAAACCTTTTGAGATTTGAAAGCTGTATCATTAATAACTTGTCAGTGTCTGTTACAATATTACATTAATCTGAAGTGGCATATTCATCCACCCTTTAATAAATTGGTCTCTCAGACCATTTAGGGATGCAGAAATTTTAATTGACTGTGAAATTTTTATTAGTCATACTCATTTATTACTCTACTCTCCATAAGACAAAACTTTCTTAAAACAAAATGTGTTTGTAAAGATTTCTGCCATAGATTTCAGTGGAAAACAGTTTTAATGTAAGAGGTAATTTTAAGTGAGGTTTGATGGCCCAGGCCTGTAATTCCAGTGCTCTGAGAGGTAAGGCAGGAGGATCACAAGTTTGAGCCGAGGATGGGCAACTTTCTAAGATACTGTCTCACAGTAAAAATATTGAAATGGCATGGGGATATGGCTCAGTTCAGTACCACACAAAACGTAATTTTAGTGGAGAGAAAAAATAATTTATTATATTTTCCTTTGAATCTGTTTACTTTGTATAAGCCCATGGCATGTGGGCCAGTGCTTATTTTCATGGTTGTGTTTAATTTCTAAAAACATTTCTCAATTACTACCTTACTAATGTTGATTCTATTATAAGAAAGAAAAAATACTTTTAGAATAAAGCTTCAGTATTACACTTGATAACCTTTGAATCTTTTTCTCATCTGTTTCCTTTGGGCTAAATCAGCATGCGGCAGTCTAATGCAGATCATGACAACCTCCTTATTCTGAGATTTTACTAATCACTATGAACTAAACAAGAGAGTAAAGTTGGTTGCTTAAGCTCCTGCAGATCACACATCACACATCACACATTAGCTTAGAATTACTATTGACAATTAGAGGTTCTTTCTTTCTTTACTGTGCAGTTTGGAGACTCCCAGCAGCTGCGGCTGGTTCGGATCCTGCGAAGTACTGTGATGGTCCGTGTTGGAGGTGGATGGATGGCACTTGATGAGTTCTTAGTGAAAAATGATCCTTGCAGGGGTAAGGAGATGCTTAGTTCAAGGTGATGGCACCATGTAAATAGACCAGCTTTGTGTTACCTTCCAGCATTGAAAACATACTGGACATAATAGTGTTTCACCTTGGTCCTTAGCCTAAAGTTCCCAAAGAACTTGTGGCAGCCATGTAAACCATATTTTTCTCATTGTTTTGGGGTTTTTTCACCACTTTACTACTTCTGGAATAAATATGAGACAGGTGGGCAGGAAATACTAGACTAGATTTTCTTTATGAGACTCTCTTGTGTGTCATTTTTTAAATGAACACTTACATTCACCAACAAAAGGGTTTGTCATTGAATAGCAAGGTAGGAAAGAAAATTGAGACAATAGTGACTGTATTGGATAGTAAAAGTTTAAAACTCAAAGTTTTTATAAAATGAAGGAGACTTGAAGAAAGCAATACTTAAAAAAATAGCAGTGAACTGTTACCTCTACTCTTAATTTGAAGTCACAGATTAGTATATTAAAAATATAACCGTATAATACTGTAGTTCACTGCATATCTACAAGCCTAAGAATCCTAGCTTAGCTATTAATTTTCAATTTTCAGATCCTACAATCAATTTTTAAATTCTTAATTGATTTACAAGTGAACATTTGATTGCAGTTTCTAGTTAGGTACCAGCAACTCAATTGGCACATCTTTCTTACTTTGAAAAAAAGAAAACTGTTATGATTTTGCTTTAGTCTTGAGCTTATGGTAGTCCTTTTGGAGAGTCTACGCCAATGCTGTCTATTTAGGTTACCAGTTGGGAGGTGAAGACTGCCCCAGTGGAGCCCCTTGGATTCCTTGCTGTCATCTGAGGATCACAGATTATTGAGTATCAGCAGGCCTGATGGCAAGGCCACCGTGGATTGTTACACAACCATACAAAGTGGTCCTGCTCTCTGTTGGCTGTAGACATCTAAAAGACAAGTAAAAATAAGAATAAAAGCACCCATTTTCTTTTATCAGTCATATATCACTTAATGGAGATATGTTCTAGGCAGTGTGTTGTTAAGCACTTTCATTATTGTGCCTATGTAGAGTGTATTTAAACAAGCCTAGATGTACATAGCCTGCTACACACCTAGGCTATATACTGTGGTGTCTATATGGTATAACTTAGTGCTCCCAGGGCTGTGATAAACAAACCAACATAAGATTAAATCAACCACAAGAGAAAATAATGTAATCAAGAGATAGAGTTAACGTGAGATATACAAGGGTACTGCTGGTATAACAAACACAGCCTACTGTTTTACAATTAGCTTTTATAAGGAGTGCAGTCTAAGATAACAGTAAAATACAATGTGGTAAATACATAAACAAGTAACAGTCATTATCATCATCAAGCGTTATGTCCTGTGCATAGCTCTATGTGCTGTGCTTTTATATGATGACAGTATCACAAGTGTACACCAAGGCAATGGAATGCTTCAGCTCTGGTGTGGTCTTACAGACACCATCATATGCTATGCAGTCCCTCAGTGACCGAAAATGCATTACATGGCACATGACAATGTACATCTATTATTTTGAAAGTGATAGCCCAGTGCAGCTCCATTTATGAAAAAAAAAAATTAGAATGCATACTGTTCTGTTAGTTTAGAGAACCAGCGTGACTGTGGCTGTCTTCCAAATGCATTTTTCTTGTTGAGCCAAACCTTTGAAGTGTTCTTTTCTTGATGCCATTTTTCTTCTAAAATGTGTGCTGCAGGCTGAAACACTCTTTGCATATTCAACTACTGTACTTTGTTTCTTCTTCTGCTAACAGTATTCTTAAATGTGATTGGTATCCTGTGTCATTTTTTCTAGTTCATCATCATGGGAGTAAAATGTTACGTTCGGAATCAAACTCTTCAATTACTACTACTCAGCCTACTATAGGTTGGCAACCCCTCTCTTTGCCTCTCCCTCTTTCCTTTTCTCTTTTCTACTTCTACATTCTTGCTTTAATCATTTGTTTTAATATAACATGCTTCATTGCATATGGCTTAACTTGTATCCAACTGTGAGCTGGTGCTTCCAAATTTAAATTCTAGAAATTGGGCACACTTCCAGTGTGTTGCAAATGCAGGTGTTACATAAGTGATCTGACACATGCTAACACGTTGCTTGACGGGTTCTTGAGGCCTGTGCTCCATGTGCATATGTGTTTGTCTGAGTGCTGTATCACTGACTACCTCACGGATCCTTGGGTCTGGCATTTCTTACTGCATGTTGGGAAAAGTTTCTCAAGGCATAAAGTAAAAATATTAGCTGCCTCACGTCAGTGAAAAATCTGAAAGTTTCTGTGTTGTCATCATGACTAATGAGCCATCTCTTGTTCTGTATAATCTCCTGTTTAATTAATCCCCCTGTTAAATACTAGCATTCTCCTGACCTCAATAGCACATGCAAAAGACACAGTCCCTGCCCTCCTAGCTTGTCTTCTCAGTGTGATGAAAGGGCAGTGAGACCTTGTGGCATCAGTAGCTGGTGGATTAACAGTATTTTAGCATGAGCTTTCCATTTTCATGCTGATTCTTTCTTTTATAGTGGTTATTCTTGCTGGTGTCTAGTGTTAGAATAAGCACACCTCTTTCCCCCTCCCAAACTCACTTGTATCCAAAAGGAATGCATTGTTAAGGAATGCATTTAAGTTTTTGTTATGCCGAATTGGAGTTGGCATGGCAAAAAGATGTTCTTGAAATTCTCAGTGTTATCTCTTACTAGGTGGTCGTTCTTTTCATTAATGATTGAGTGCCTGTTTTCCTTCTTCTTTTGTGTGTGTTGTTTTGTGTCGGTGTGTTATCCAGCTAAAGGAAGGACCAACATGGAACTGCGTGAGAAGTTCATCTTAGCAGACGGTGCCAGTCAGGGCATGGCTCCTTTCCGACCCCGGGGCCGCAGATCCCGGCCTTCCTCTCGGGGAGCTTCACCAAACAGATCAACTTCTGTGTCCAGCCAAGCTGGTCAGGGGACCTCCCCACAGGTCCCTGCCACCAGCACACCCAAGGTAGGACCCTGGGATGAAAACTTCTCCTCCAACACAATGTCTTGAGTATACTTTTGAATGTTTTATATCCCTAGAGTTTGTAGAACTACTTGTCTTCATTTGTGTCCCTTCTCACAGTATGGGAAATTCAGGCTTTTTTTGTTTTAAAAAATATGCCTTTGCCTAGTGACCCATACAGAGATTATCTTTATAGGGGTTTTGTTATCTTTCAGATTGAATTCTCTTTTAAAAGTTTCATTCTCTCTTTTTTTTTTTTTCTATTTTTGGTCTATATGATTTGCCATCAGATCTTTCCATCTATTTATAATTGTTATTCTGACTGTGAAATGTGACTCCCAGCTATAAATATCTCTTTCTTTGGCTTTGGTTTTTATCTTCTATCCTTTACATTTGATTTGCCATTGTTCCATACAGATTCTCCATCCTTTAACACGCAATTATGGTAAACCATGGTTGACAAACAGCAAAATGTCAACTCCTTGTAAGCCAGCAGAGTGCCCAGACTTTGCCGTGTCTTCTGCAGAGGTATTGTAAGGCCCCAGATCCCAGCCTTAACAGTCCTCTTTAATTGGAACTATCACCCACTAACACTGCCTCACACTCCCTTAGTATACGTGATTTTGATAATATTGCATCTTTTAATAGACTTCTATAAAAGAAGTATCAACCTAGCAGTTCTTTAAAGACATAAGAGCAAGGGATTAACAGAAAAGAGATTAACAGTCTGATATTGTCACATTTGTTCTCCCTCACACTTAATTCTGCTATATCTCCCCCAGGAGTAAAAGACAGGAGATTATATTCAGACCTAAGTAAAATTTCTTTTAAAGCTAGTAGAATGTTTTTGGTCATAGACATCATTTGGGCAAGAAATGCAACATGCCCCCTTCAGATGGGATTGAGAGGCAGTATCATTTGCAAGAGAACCATTTTAGTGAATGTTTGCTGTGGGCATGTACCTTCCGATTGTCCATTGAGGTCATTTCTGCCCAACAACAGAAGGTATATGTGACATAAATTATCAGTGATCAGTGCAGGAGGTTGGAGGGGCATGATTAGATATGCAGAAAGTTACTTCTCATTTCCCAAAAGTACCTTTGTTAGATTGCAATAACTAATATAAGAATGCTATAATTTCTCGATAGGGCATGATATTTGGGCATAAGATATTTAAGGGCTATAAAATTTATCAAAAATAGTTCCTATACCATATTCACATTCAATTAAATGTCAATCATGTATCTTTTTAACACACTTCTCTGAAATGACAAACATAGGTCCCAAAAATCACATATTTTATTAGTCACAATAATTAGGGGAAAACTTGCTAAATATTTTTTCTTGAAATGAAGGAGGTTATTTCATCTTAATTAAATACAACTGAAAGGCCAAGACTCTTATATAGCACATTAATAGTAAGAGGTAGCCAGAGAAGAGTACATTACCTTGACAATTTCATGGCAGTCCCGTTGCTAAGTGGTAGAGACATTTCATTCTTCAGCTTTTCCTGTTCCTTCCTCTTCATTTTCCCCAGCTCCTCATTTCCATTCCCACCCTCGGTGGGGAATGTTAGGACCATAGATTACACCTAGAGGTGTCTGCCAGTTGTTATAGTTGGATTATAGCAACAACTGAGAAGATTTAAAGAAGTTCAAGCAACATACATACAGTTAGATCGAAGTATAAGGTGAATGTTTAAATAAAAAAATGTATTACCATAAAGACACATTGCTGTTAATCCCCTTCCTCAACTTCAAACACACTTATTCCATCATTCTTGCCACTTCTTGAAGCAGTTCTGAAAGTCCTTTTTTGGAGTGTCTTTATGCGGTGTACTTCAAATACAGTGAATGCTGCTGCCAAGTGCCATCTAGCAGAAAAGCAGGCTCATAAAAACTTCAAGATGTGTCCTCCTCCACCTTATTCACTAGATCTGGCACTGTGCAAAGTCTGGCTCTTCCCCAGTCAAATAACCACGAAACGTAAACATTTGGAGTCATTTCAGGACATTAAGGCAGCCACAACAGCACAACTAAAAATGCTCATGAAAAAAAGACTTTCAGTACTACTTCAGAAAGTGGCAAGAATGATGGGCTAAGTGTGTTTGAAGTGAAGGAGAGTATTTGAGGGAGGTTAGTGGCAATGTGTTTTTTACTGTAATGATTTTTTAAAATTTAAATCATATTTTTCAATCACACTTCATATTAATTTTTTAAAAATATTTAGAACTAAGATGCTGTGTTCAAATTTGAGGGGGGTGTTTTTTTGTTTTTGTTTTTGTTTTTTTGGTTTTTTGAGGTAGGGTCTGCCTTTGTAGTTCAGGCTGTCCCTGGACTCATTATGTAGCCCAGGCTGGCCTCAAGCTCCTGGCAATCCTCCTGCCTCAGTCTCCCGGTTGCTGGGATCACAGGCATGTGCCACCATATCCAGCTTCAAATTTTTTAAAAGTAGAATCTCCCTCAAAATCTGTTATTTGGACTAATGCAAAATTATGTATTTCATTTTAAATAACTTCATTAAATAAAATCCAACCAAAACATTAAATAAAAATCAACCAAAAAACCCCACAAAAATCCCAGCAGTATGGGTTCTTTCCATGGAAGGATCTGTGACAATAAAATAAAAAGACATGGCATTCTATAAAGAAAGATTTTGGTCTTTCATGGGAATAACCTCTGCCACCATGAGTGATATGTGTCCACATTCCCTTGTGGATTGTTCAGATTCTTTTAAATTAGAAATTTAGCTAGTCAGCATTGTCAGATTATGTCCTTCCTTGGGCCCTAATTTCTCAAATTTTTTTTAAAAAGCGATGATTGGGTGAGTGTGAGAGTTAATTATGGTTCTGTGTGTGAAAGTATTTTGAGCACTTCAGCATTCTATGCATACAAATCCTATATAAATACTGCACCAAAGCGTATGTAGTATACATTAATGAATGATAGAAATACTATATTTATATTAGTAAATGCAATTCTTTTGTATTGAAATGCCCTATGTATTCTTTCTTAAGCATTTAAAACTATCTTTAAAAAGAAAATTATTTTTTAATGTACATACAATCTATACAGATCCATTATCTCCAAATAGCTCCTTGGCTGCATGTTAATTGAGGAATATGACATCTGTAATAATCTTCAAGAGGCTTATTTTTTTAACTTTGTCAGAATATTCAAAATGTTGTAATATGGAAAAATGCAGTGATTTCAGACTTATTGTAAAATCTTATAATTGCTTAGACATTCTCTGAAAACTCCTATAAGAATTTTTAAAGAATTATCCCAAAAAGTTGCCTATAAATCTTGAGTGTGGGGCCATGGAAATGACAGAGCTGAGAAGTGAAGTCATGGCACCAGTGTAAAACATCACTTTTTTTTCCTTTTTGCACTTCACATTGTTTAAATGATGGTCTCTAGGCATCATTTATTTACTTTTCATTCTGTTTCTGTTTGTTTAATTCTGCCTAGTTAAACATTGGAGGCAGCAGAATTCCAAACAAAGTTTTCAGAGTCCCCACCCCTTCTCTACCTCAGAAAGTCACCCATCCTTTATGCAGTGACTCTCTTAACTTCGGTATTTGCTCGCAGGCTGGAAGATCCTTGTGTCCCCAGTTTCATTTCTTTTTTCTTTGCCATCAATTTTGTGTTATACTGGGGACCTTCATTTTTGTATTTTTTCTTCAACCACAAATTCATTTCCTTTGGAAGGTTTCCAGTGAATTCACTGAGAATAAAAAATGGGAGGAGGAAGCAAGCAAGAGCCCTGTGCTTTTAACTGAAAAGTTTCCACCTCCTAAAGAAGTCTTGTACAGATGACTACCATTTGTAAAGAAGTGGTGTCAGTGGAATGGTATGGAACTTGAGCAAGTTCTTGAGATGTCGTTTCTCAATTAAATACAGGGAACACCAATACAAGGCAGCAAGCTTCGACTTCCGGGGTATTTATCAGGGAAAGGCTTTCACTCTGGGGAGGAGAGTGGCTTGATCACAACGGCAGCTGCCAGAGTCCGAACACAGTTTGCTGGTGAGTAGGCCGCATTTCTTTCTTAATGGCTTTGCAGTAGACTAATAGAAAGATGAAAGTCCCCTTTCTTCCCAACTGGGGAAGAATTATATTTTCTTTGCAGTTCTGAGAGTAGGGCCTTGTACATGTTAGACAAGTGCTCTGTCACTGATCCATGTCCCCAGCACAGGAAGGAAATTCTGAGTTGCTGCATTCTTAAAATTCTAGTCATCCAACAAAGTGAGGGGATAAATGAGCTTTGGGAGCAAGCGACTAAGAAATACCTTTTGGAAAGTACTAAAGAAAGATAAGAGAATGACTACAGACCAGAAGAAAAGAAGACACAATACTCAACCCAGTCCAGCTGGACAGTCTGGGCTCCTGCCTGGAGATTGCAAGGGGCTCTGTGTCAGATGGTTGGAAAACCCAGCTATCCTGGGCCTGACACCAGCACCTCTCACCTCTCACAAATCTTCCCAGAATAGTGAGCTTTTGAATGCCTGAATCCTAAGCTCACCCAGTCTGAAGCTTCTTTAAATTTTGAAGTCTTTGCTTTTAAATTCCTGCATTTTTAGTTACCTGTCCTCAGGCAAGACTTAAACCTAGAGTCTGCCCCATGTGCACTGGGTACACTTGCCAAACTTTAGAAGGCATAGCTCACGTGACAGGAGCATTTCTTATGTCTGTTTGTAATAAATGGAATCCTGTTTTAAGTGAGGTGTCCATACTTACCTTTTGTATGTAAATCTAGCTTTTGCTGTACTATGTATAGAGTAAGGCTCCCTGCCCTGTGTAACAGAGAAAGTATACTTACAGTGTCAGAAAGAAAGGCTGAGGTTCGAGGTGTGTCAGCTTTCAAGCCTGAGTTGTGGAAGGATCAGCAGTAGGAGTGACCCATCTCTGCCTTCTCTCAGATCCCAAGAGGACTCCCAGCCGACCCGGAAGCCATGCGGGGAGCAAAGCTGGCAGCAGGGCCAGCAGCCGCAGAGGCAGTGATGCGTCCGACTTTGACATCTCGGAAATCCAGTCTGTGTGCTCAGATGTGGAGCCAGTTCCCCAGACACACAGACCTGTACCCCGAGCAGTTTCTCGCCCATCCACAGGGAAGCCTTCCAAAATCCCCACGCCTCAGAGGAGATCACCTGCCAGCAGACCGGACAAGTCCTCCAAGAGATAGTGCAATCCATTCCTCTGGGCCTTCCTTAAACATTTATTATTTAAGTTTGAACAGTGTAAAGTATGATGTAGAAATTATTGTTAAATACCCCCAAGAGATGAGTTTAAAATTCTGCAGATGGCCTTATCTGTGTATATGCCTTTTTATTTGATCTGTATCATTTTTTTGGTCAGATATTCTGGGGCTAAAGTCACATCATATGTGATAGGGAAGAAAGAGTCTGATGTGGGCTAATATTTCTGCACCTAACATGTACACTAAGCATACACTAAAGTCAGTTACTGTACTACAGGTAAGTCTCCATTCTCTCTGACAACCACAGCACTACATTGATAGCTGACACTAAAGACACCTCATGATGTATTTTCTTGTTTTATATGGAAATTCCAAACAGCGGGAAGACACAGACCAGGGATATATTTTAAGATGATACAAATGTAAAGTCAAAGTTGGGGGGCAGCAAGACAAACATATCCACACACAATTCTTCAAGCAGTATCTGACAGAGAACTCACAGGCATTTACTTAACCACTTGCCAGTACCATCATACTCAAGTATGGGGCAGTTTTTCTGTGCCGTGGCTTTAAAGGCAGCCAGCCAGAGGCATCCTGGATACTAGGCCTATTACACTGTAAGAATATAATCATAAAGTGCAGTTGTATAAATATGAGGTTTTCTTTTGCTTGAGTGGACAGTAGCCACCTGTATCATTGAACTCATTTTGTAACAAAGCAATTTTTGCTTGCAAAAAGCTATGAAATAAAAACATGTCCCTTAACTACATTGCTATGGAATTAATTTTTTCCCCAGGGAAAATTGGTGTATTTTTTATAAGCAGTATCAATTTGGAGTGACCAAAAGATACATTAAAATGGGTTTATTTTGATTTCTCATCCGAAATAACCATGTTCTGGTATTATATCTACCTATATTTAATAAATATATACATTTTAATTTATTATGTATACTCACATACTATATAAGATATTAGCCTGCATTTAATAAAACATATTCACTTGAATATATGGAATACCTGGTTATTTAAAGGGAACTTCTAGGGCTGGGGATTTGGCTCAGTGGTTCTGCCACCTGCCTCACAAGCACAAGGTCCCGAGTTTGATGCCCGGTACCAAAAATAAATAAAGTGAACTTCTATTGTTTATTTTAAATAAAGCTTATATAATAGTATGACAGACTAAGTTTTGGGTACGTCCAATAATAAATTAGTATTAACCACTCATTCTGCAAATGCTTTTAATAAGTACCAGCCATGTGCTAGCCACTGTTGATGACACTGTGGCTGCAGATTTCCTGCCCCCTTAAGTCAAGGAGGAATTAGTTAATAAATCACTAAAACATAAATTGAAACCAGAGGATAGGTAATAGGATGGCTGAATTTTTTAAGGTAATTTGAGATGTGAACAAAAATATGATGAATGTTTATTTTTTAAAGAATTAATTACAGTAAAAAACACATTGCAATGAACCACTCTTAAAATAGTCCCCCAAGGAAGGAAGTTAGAGCATGGCCAGCAGCCGGGCAAGGGGATATGACCTGTCAGTCATGGAGATCCAAGAGATACGTGTCCAGCCCTGCACCTGCAACCAATCAGAAAGTGATATCTTCAGTTCTTCTGCTGAGAACTCTAGAGAGATTTTGATAGGATGGCTTAGACCTGACATTAGTCTGAGGAACAGGAAATACAAAAGACAGACTCCATTAAGCTGGTGGCCACTGTTACCTCTTTCAGTGGCCTACTCCACACTTGGCAGAGAGTAATTCTTTTCCTGCTTTTAATTGACATACATTCACTGTGGAGAGTATATTTATTTCCTACCTTTAATAAATGCAAAACCTGGCTACCTTTTTTGCTTGTCTTGAGCAATTCTTTGTTCAGGACAAGGAACCTAAAAAGCACCCCTTGAAGGAGACCCCAGAATCCAGTAACAGCCCCTTGCTTCAAATACACTTAACCCATCATTCTTGCCACCTTCTGAAGCAGGTTTGGAAATTCTCTTTTGTGTCTTTAGTTGTGCTGTTGTGGCTGCCTTCATGTCTTGAATCAGTTGAAAACATTTACCTTTCATGGTTGTGACTTTGGGAAAGAGCGATATGTTTGTTGGCCCTGGATGGTACCAGACCCAGCAATTAGAGTGGATTGAGGATACAGCATATTGTTTTTAACAGAAATTGCCATAAATGATTGCTCTACAGGGTAATCAAAAATATGGTGGATATTTAAAGAAATTTATGACAGTAAAAGACACATTGCCATTAATCCCTCTCAAAATACTCCCCCTTGCTTCATACATCCTTATCCCATCATTCTTGGAAATATATCTTTTACTGTAATAAGTTTTTTAAAATTTTCTGGTCACCTCTCATAGTGATACTCTTAGACCTGTGTTCATTTAAAAATCAAATTGTAGAATATTCCTAAAATATGAAAATAGCATCAGCTATAATTAAAAGGCTAGCAGATTGTTACTTTGGGCATGACAAGTGATGTGGCATTCTCTGTAATTTTGTGTATTTAATGGTGGTGTTTGGATTCAGGGGAATATGGTTATATTTTTCCTGCTTGGCCTTTTTAATGGAGGCCGCCAGTGACGAGCCTTGGAGTTTCCAGTGATATAAATTGATGCCATTTTTAAGCAATGGCAATTCCTTTTTTGTCAAGGCATTAGTCTCAGGTAGAAGCCCTTGATGGAAAGGGTAATTCTAACCTGTGAGATCACATGCTACAGTTGATGCATGTGGTTATAAACATGTCATCTGAGAAGGCAATTGAAACTGTTTTTATTCTCTAGTGCTTTGTATATGATCCACATTTCCACTTCAGAGACAAATTTAAGGGAATGATTTTATCTTAGCCTGTTTGAATGCTCCCCCTGTTAAAGAGCTAAGGATTTTCATTTTTTAGTAATAAAAGAAGCTTTTTGGAAAAGATAGGTGGTTGAAAATATTTCAGACAATTCTTAAGAACTGCTCCCATTTACAGCATTTGCCCTCATGGGAGCTTTTGAAATGTTGACATAATACTGATTACTCTACACACATCATTTGTGTGTGTAGGGGAAGAGAAAACTTTTGCTGATAAGTTGTAGATTTTAAAACCTTTGCTGTAAACTTGTAAAATGCTATGTAATGATTGGGGAGGGGGGGTTAGGCGGCTTAGGCTTTTATTTGTACTTTTGTCTCTGCTATTAAGTTAGAAACTCCCCCTGAGCTTTTCTCTGATTCATTGGAAGTTAACTTTAGAACCACCTTATATTAAGACTGCCCCTCCCTCCAGGAAATAAGGCTGAGGCAGCTCGCAACAGTTTGCCTTTCATAAAGGAAAATAGCAATCAGCTAGCAACTTACACTTGTGGTTTTTTATATGCTAACTAGAACAAAAAGGAATTTTAGTCACCCTTTCTCTTCTTTTCACGTGTCCACAGGAAACTAATAAATGTGTCTTTACTAACATGAATTGTGGCTGCTAGGCCCTGAGTATAAAACCTGTGAAGCTTCAGAGACACAGAAATTTTAGATTAAACCTTGAATAAAGCATAGCCTTGTCTTGCTGCTAAGGAAGGTTGCCTACATGACATAGGTGCCTTGGAGGACTCTTCATCGGAGGAATTTCTCTGAGCCATCTTTTTGCTTCTAGAGATGATCTTTACAGGATAGAAAATCCTGCCCCTTAATCTACCTGCCTCAGTGTCTCCCAAGGGATTAAAAAGCAGTGATTTAGATCTCTTGGTTATTGGTTTTGCTAGCAATACTTCGTTATTTAAAACGTGATTGTTACGGCTGAAATCAGTTGAACTTGTGCTCTAGGAATACCTTGGGATTAAGAACACGGGTTCCCTGGGAAGAAAAGAGCACAAACTGGTAAAAGGGTAGATAGTCCAGTCCAATTTATCTTCTGGGTCTCTCTAGATTGCAGCCACCTCCCTGGAGTGGAATCTACCCAGGGATTTCCTTGAGCAATTCTGCCTGAAAGCAAATGGAAATTAGAGTGACACCAATTCTTTCTTTTTGTATCTCAGCAGGGGAGCTCAATGTCAAAATTCTTTATTCCTTTAAAATATACCAAAGTAAAAAGAGTGACAAAGCTGACAAAATGGAACACAGGGAAATATTATGATAGTATTTCACAACTAAAATTGTACTGTAAGAAAGAAAAAGAATGGTTAAAATCACCTTCTTTTCAGACTTTTCTTTTCATTCAAGTAATCCTTACTTGTGTTCAGAATGTAAATGTAAGCCATGGGAAAGCTAGACCCCTGGTCCTTAAGGCATTCACTACCCCTGAGCCTGAGGCTACTCCTTGCCCTTTGGAACGTGAGGATAGGGTTTCCAAGGCAGCTTCAGTCAAAGCCTTGCCCACTGTTACTGAGTTTGAGGCTTCCCCTACCCACTCTTTGGGGGCTGAGGGTGGAGCTGCTAGGCCAGCTGCAATTGAAGCCTCTATGGGACTATAACCATCCTTAGCTAGTTTGTTCAGGCCCCTCAAAGACAATATCCTTTACAGGAAATAAATATCTACAGGACTAATTGAGTTTATATGTCCTTTCTTCTCAGTGACCTAAGACAGATCAAATGAGTCCTAGAAAAGTTTTCAAACAATCCTAGTAAGTACATTGAGGTTCTTAGAAGACTCACTCAGACCTATGAACTAGATTAGAAAGGTGTAATGTTACTCAAACATTGGCTGCTAGTAAGAGACAAACAGCATTATAAGCTGCTACTACATTTGGAGATAAATGTTAATTTTAGAAGGTCAGAAGACAGCCAGGGGAGCATGAGCAGTCCCTATGCTAGACCCCCACCTGCCTGCCAACCAGATGGAAGATAGGAATAAAAGACAGAACTAAGGCCTTAAGTTACTTTAAATTGTCAGCTGTTTATCAGGAGAGAGATGAGGACATCCTTAGTTCCTGATTCAGTAGAAGAAAATACTGTAGTTTTTCCCAAGTCAGTCTTGCAGTATGTAGATGGTATACTGTCATGTGTCCCCTCAGAAGAGCTCTCTAGCCAAGGCTGAATTTTCTAGCAGACACGTTATAAGGTTTCTAGATCTAAGGAACAACTTTGCAGGCTTGAGGTAAAATATTTGGGCCTTAGCTTATCTAAGGAAACCTGAAGATGGGGAAGAATTAAACCAGTTCTTTTCCCTCCCACAGCCCAAGATTCTAAAATAGCTAATGAGATTCCTAGAAATTAAAGGTCTTTATCACCTTTGCATAGCAGATAGTGCATAGTGAGATTGCATGATCCCTCTATCAGCTTATAAAGAAACCCAAAAAACACCCATATTTTAACCTGGAAACATTAACATTTTCATTTTCTCTCTTTTTCAAGAGGCTAAAAATCAGCCATTCAGGTTGATTATTGATTTAATTTTCTGCTTGGCAAAGCAGTTAGAGTCAACCATAGCTCTTGTCTCTGGAGACATGTTTTGGTAAATATTAGAGGTTCACTCTGGAAAGGCTCTTGACCTTAATTGTCTTTCTGCACCTGAGATGGTTAGGATTTAGTTCTTGTGCCATAGCTGGAGTCACTCTTTTGTCTTTTCTCCACTGCTGTGCCCTTGAAAAATAACACAGTTTTCAACAGTGTGTGATCCAATGCAATTTTCTTCTCTGTGGCTGCTGGATTTCACAACCAAGCTTCCAGAAATGGTCAGTTGCCCTCCTTGGGACCCTTCCAGAGACCCATCACTTATCCATCAGCCATATTAAAAAAAAAAAAAAAAAACTGGTTTAGATTTGACCATGAAACTCAAAAAATAAATATAAAAATTCTAGTCCAACTTTATCTGCCTTTCAGTCCTTAGGCAGAACTAGAGATTAACTTCTCTTACTTCCCTCTCCCCTCAAGAATGGTTTTTGTAGCACAGGGAAAACTGATTTTTATAACACAAATAAGTCCATTGACAGAACAAGACATTCATAGAGAACTCTATGAGTTTAACAACAGTTTTAGACAAAAGCAGGTATTAAAGAAGAGTCACAGCCCTCGTCCCCAGA